CGGAAAAGATCATGGAGGATCTTGGAGATCAGGAGTCCACCATGACACCTGCATTTAAAAATGCTTCTCTGGAATTTTTAGGGAGTCTTTCTCTTATTTTTAGAACTCATTTGCAAGAAGTTTATCCATTTTCTCTCAGTTAAAGTATATGATATTTTATCCTCCATCCTTTCCCTCTCAAAATTCAAAACTTCTCCACTGAGATCTCCCATACTTCCTCCACAGCTCCACTATCTCATGGGGGAACTTGCCTCAAACTTCACTGAAGAAAATAGCCAGTAGAGGTCATTCTAGGGGAGTCCCCTTGTCTCTCACACTTTCCACCCTTAGTCTTTTCTCCCATAATGAGAGAGGCCAGCCCCTCCACTTGTGTCCTTTATCCAGCCCTCTCTTGTCTTCTCCAGCACATTGTCTCCTCAGTGAGCCTCTCTCTCTAATCTTCATTCTCTCCCTACCTAATGGTTCCTTCCCTGCTGCCTTCAAACATGTTCACGTCTCACATCCCTAAAACTTAACTAGATCCTGCTGTCCTATCAAGCTGTTGTCCTCTAGCTCTCCTTTTTCTCAGCCAAACAACTGGGAAAACGCTGTCTACGCTGGTTTTCTCCTGTTTTCCTCTTCTTTATTCCACAACCCTTTGCAGTCTGGCTTCTACCTTTAACGCTGACCTGAAACTGCTTCTACCAGAGTCAGCAATGATCTCTTACTGCCAAACATAATGGCCTTTTCCTCAGTCTTCTTTATCTTTCTTGACCTCCTTGCAACATTTGATGATATTGACCACTCTTTTCTCCCTCAGACTCTGTCTTGGTCCCCTGATTTTCCTTGTATTTGTTTTTATTGTTTCTCAGTCACTACTGGTTCAGCAGTTGTATACAGGGGTATGATAGCTACATCCTACCTGTGTGTGTCCCCTAAGACTTGTCCTGGTCCTTTTTATCTCTACATTCTGTCATTTGGTGACCTCATTTGAGCTTCTATGGCTTTAATTCTCCCTAGATAGACAATGCCAACATCGGTGTACTCAGGCCCAGGCTCTTTCCCAAGTGTCAGTACTTCATCACCAATTACCTGTTATTCATTTCAAACTGATCTCATAGAAACCTAACTCAGCAAGTCCTAATAGAAATTTTCTTCCCTCATCCCCACTTCTCTTTTGAACTTAGCTTTCTGTAGAGGTCTCCACCAGCCTTCTAGTTGCCCAAGTTTGCAACCTCAGTGATATCTTCACCTCCTCACCCCACATGTCTAATTAGTTGCCAAATCTTGCTGATTCTGTCTCTGCCACATTTCTCATATTTGACACCTTATTACTCACCCAGCTGCTACCTTAGTTCAGGTTTGCATCACTTCTTGCCTCAACTATCACAGTAGTTTCCTCATTGGTCCCTGGGCTACAAGCCACACAACAATTTTCCTTAAGCATAGGTCACTTCCACGTCACATCCCTACTAGATAAATTTCAGTGGCTTTCTATTGCTTCTAGGATCAAATATAGACCTCCAGTCTCATATTTCCAAGTGCCTGTTAATTGGATTGGTCGAACTGTATGTCCTGTAGACATATCAAACTCAACTTACCCATCTTTTCCCCAGAACCCTCCCTCTGCTTAACTTCCCTATTATAGTCAAGGGTGCTACCATCCTGCCAGTTACCCAGGCCTGCAACCTAGGTTTCATCTTCAACCCTTCACTCTCTCTCTCACTCAGACTCCAATTAGTTGTCAAGTGCTCTTGTTTCTGCTTTAAATAACATCTCTAGAATATATCCCCTTCTCTCCTCTGTCGCTGCCATCCCCCTAGTGCAGGCTGTCAGTATCTCACACCTGGACTCATGCTATATATAGCATGCTGTTGGTCTTGTGGCATTGTCTCCATTCCAAACCATCTTCCACTCAGTTGTCAGATTGATCTTCCTATAAAGTGCAGGTTCTGACCATATCACTCACGTACACACATTCAGTAAACTCTCCAAGATCAAATACAAAATCCTCTGTTTGGCTTTTAGAGTCCCTCGTAACCTGACCTTTTTATACACTCCACGTTCTCTGTAATCCAGTGATACTGGCCTCTTTCATCTTAAAAGGACACTTCAAGTCTCACCTTCTTCAAGAGGCCTTTCCTAGTCCTCCTTAATCTTAGTACCTCCCCTCTGAGACTCCACCCCCCCTTAGCCTGTATATATTTTATTTGTGCATAGTTGTTTGTGTGTTGTTTTCCCCATTAGACTGTGAGTTATTTGAGAACAGGGACTGGTTTTTTTTTCCTTTTTTGTTATCGCCATCACATAGAACATAGACACTTTTTAAATTCTGGTTGATTTGTTTGGCTTTTAAAGCCCTGAACAGCCAGGTCCCAGGCTACGTTTCCAGCCTTATTGTATATTTATTTCCCTTCAAGAACTCTGCACCCCATCCAGACTGGTCTTCTTGCTGTTCCTTACAAACAGTATCAGGTTTCCTGTCTATGTTGCCTTTTCATGGGTCGTCCCTCATGGCTAGAATGCATTCCCTCCTCTGTACTTCAGAGAATCCTTCCCTTCAGGACCCATGAATTTGCACAACCCTATTTCATTGCATTCTTAGCTGCAGGAGCTTTAATGATCTGATAGGAGTCAAATTTGGTCAAAGGAGGTGGTACCCAAATGAAAAGACTTTAACGGACTCTGGTTATGGTAAAATTGTAGCTGTCCAAACTGATGTTTTTCAAAGATGAAAATGGCTGAGGAAGAGACAGACTTACATTCACTTGGTTTCCTTTCTGAGGTTGTTTCTACAGATCTTTGAGGTTGGGGAACACCCCAGCGTGGAGCTGCAAGTCTGTACCAAATAGTCTTAGAGAGTTGGGCAAAGAACTTGCAGCTTGCCAGTATGATAAAGCCACCACTAGTATGACTTTATCAGAGGGAGCACTGGAACCCGGGGCTTCCTGATTCCAAAGCTCTGTCCACTCAGTCATCTGTTCTCCAGGTGGGGAGGGGGAGGACCAAAACCATTTTCATAATAATATTAAGATGTTTTCATTTCTAATACAGTAAGTATCTGTAGATAAAACTCACATAAACAGGAATTCTTTCAAGTCCTCAGTAATTAAGGGTGTAATGGGTCCTGAGCCACCTTACCAAGTCATGTTATCTTTCTCATAGAACCTACGCCCATTGTCAAACTCTAAGGATTATAGGTTGTGGTGTGTAGCTGTTACTTTTCCACAGCATTCATCTTCTAGGTTTTCTGATCCTACAACATTCTCTTCCTTGTTTTCTTTGGGATCAAAACACCCTCTTCGTAAGGCCTGGGACTAGAGTATCTCTGAGTTCCATTGCTCCGTCTCCTCTCTCCTGAGTTATTAACCATTTCTCCTGAAAGTTCTAGAATGGATTGAATGTTCTCAGTTCCTGATTGGCATTTGCTCTTGAGATTCAGATAGAGACAGGAGGAAAAGGTGGTTGGTTTGCCGGTCATGCTCCCACTTATTTTCCCCATCCACAGAGATTTTGAGCATCTCTACTCCATTGAGCTGCCAGGGGAACACTCGGACTTTGTGTCTTTCCAGTCACCTCCACATGTAAAAAGCCAAGTTTCTCTTTCCAGACTGTGCAGTCGCATTCCCTGTGAGGCATGTGATTTGTAGTTCATTTTGACAGCTCCTGTCTTAAAACTCGGCTTGAGCAGTCTTTTACAAAGCGACTTTGGCTGCTAATTGTCCCAAAAGTCAAGGAGAGCCTTCTGATAAAGTTGATTTTCCTTCTCAGGAAATGTTGGGGGGGGGGGAGTGGCTTCAAATCTCTGTAATTTTAACCTTTGGCCTTTGCCAGCATTTCCCTGATTTTCTGCCTTTGTTGCTGTGCTTCCATCTTAGGAAGCAGATTGCCTTATAGGGTGGAAGGAGCCTCTGTCTTTGCCAAGAACGCCTCTGCAGGAGGAATTTTGAGCTAAGGACAGTCAGGCTGGGATTCGTCCTTGCACTCTATAGATGTGTTACCTTGTCAGTTTGTCCAGGTGGCTAAAGGCAGACTTTCAGGTGAAGTGCTACATAGAGGCCTTTTGCCGACTAAGCTCCTGTGTTTCTTTCCTTAGCACTTTTTTGTTGCACAGACTTTCAGCTTTGTCCATCTTCTTTGGAAGCTGAACAGGGACACAGATGAGATAAGTGTGTTGCCTTATTCTGAGTACCAGGAGGTCTCTTTGCCCTGAAAGGCCATTTTCAAATATGGGCCAAACAAGTGGGATGAGGGAATCCCCAGATTCAGTTTACTTATTTGTGAACAAAACTGGGCCTTCTACTTATCTAAAAGTTGTTTGGCTTTTAAAGGTCATAAGTGGTCAGGAGGTGGCCTTGGGGAAACACTCCTCTTCCTCACTCCAAGAAGCTTTGATATTCTCCCTAGCTGCAGATAATTTGAGACAGGATACTGAAGCTGGGGTTCCCCGCTCCAGGACCTTGTTCTGCCTTTTTTTGGGGGAAAAGTCTCCTTAGCCAATTGAGATTGGCCAGAACAAGATGGTGCTGTTTATGACTCTGGCCTGTGACTTAGATGCCAGAAGTTTTTCATCCTTCTCTGGCAGCATGAGGAGCCCCTATCCAAAATAACCAAGGGGTCCCAGAATTGGAAGCTCATTCTTTAGTTGGGGCAAATGAGAGGAAGCACAAATGCCAAATGGTCCCATTGGTGGATGAGGTCTGGGGATAATTTGCCTTCAGAAGGAATGATAGTTGTCACTTAACCATGTGGACAGGTAGTAATTTTCCACTCTTGAGCACACAGCTGGACTATTTGAAATGTCTCTTTTGCCATAGTAACATTTGAGGGCCAATTTGCAACTGCAGTTAGATAAATGGTAGGTAAATTTTTAATCAGCATATACTGCTAATTAAATTGCGTATTTGGAAAATCCTGGGGCCTGGGCATGCAACCTAGCAGTGCATATGGCCCCGCCTGTCCCAGGTACTTGCTAATATTTGTTGCCTTTTGTATCCTGACCGTGTTTTCTTTTCTTATAGTGTGAGTGACTGCCCCATGTTATGTTGATGCTGGTCTGCCATGCTAGCCTGTCTGCCTGGGCCAAGTGACCTGTCCTTTCAGCTTCTCTCTCACACGCAGATGAACACTGGACTTCAGAAATGTAAGTTGTGTGGGCAGAACTAGACAGGGCTCCTTGTACAGGATTGAGGCAGAACTGAAAGCCAAATCTCACCCAAATATTTAACCTGGGTTGTCAGTAACGTTGAGGAAACAGCTGCCTAATCATATGCCAGCAGCATGAGAGACACGCTGTAGGTTTCAGTGAGATCCACTGTGATGGAAAAATTTCCAGACCTTATTTATTTCCTTTGCCACCTTCCATGGTGGCTGCTTTTATGGAGCATCTGGGTGATGAAACAAATAGCGTGCCAGGCCTAAGTCAGGAAGATTCAATTTCCTGAGTTCATATCTGGCCTCAGACACTTACTCGATGAGTGACCTTGGGCAAGTCACTTAACCCTGCTTGCCTCAGTTTCCTCATCTGTAGAATGAGCTGGCAAACCACTCCAGGATCTTTGCCATGAAAACCCCAAATGGGGTCATGAAGAATCAATCAAGTTAGGTGGAAGTAGAGAGTGCAAACGAGGGTGCCTGGAGACACCACTTGTGCTGTTGGCTTATGCCCATGCTGATCCAGGAGCTCCTTTCCCTTGGCCTTGCTCCTTATGAGTTGGGGGTTAAAGCCGTATGGACATGGAAAGCAGAGTGTCCAGCATACTCGTTTGGACGCTTAGAGCCATTTCCAAGGCTGGTGGGCCACTGATTTGGGGCCTGGTGACTCCAAGGGGCACTGCCTGAGTTGTGTATACTTGAGGACAGAGCTGAGGTGCTCCAAGGCAGAGGGCTTGGAGCAGGAAAGAATCATAGACCTTAGAGTTGAGAGGAGCCAAGTGGCCAGCCCTAAGGTTTACTCGTGTAGCCTTTGAGTAAAGACCTCTAGTGGGGTTTTTTTGCTCCCCCACACAGCCTGTTTCAGTTGTAGACATCTCTGATCATTACTTTGTCCTTGCATCCAAAAGGATCAGCTTCATCTGTGCCAGTCTGTGGGAAACCTCTCCAGTCCCTGTGAGTTTTGTCAGAGGTACCTTTCCTCTTCCAGAAACAAATTAAGTTGGTCCCAGGCCAGCCAGCTAGCTACTGGTTAACCACAATGCAAAGCCTCCGTGTGGTTAATGAAATTAGCTCTTGTTCCACGGTGGGACTGAAGTTACAGATCTTCATTTTGTAGTTTTGTGACATAGTGAAGCAAGATTTAGGACACCAGCTTTCCCCCCCAACCTATCTCTTTACACAGTGATAGTTAAATGGGAGAAGGTTCTTTCCTCATATAGCATCACAGAATTTTGTAATTGGAAAGGGTCTTGATTGCTATCATCCCTGCCTGAAAGGATCACTTACCCCCAAGTGAAGACCTCCAAGGAGGTCTTCACCCCACCACCTTGTGGTAGACAGTCTGGTTTCTCTTTTGGACACTCAGATGGTTAGAAAGTTTCTCCAGACATTAAACCAAAATGTATTTCCTTTAGTTGTTTCTAGCTTGGTCCTTTAGGGTCAAATAGGACAAGTTGAATCTCTCTTCCATATATAATTGCCCTTCAGAAACACTCCCCCAGAGACTTCTCCAGCCTAACCATGTCAAGTTCCTTCAACTAATTTTCATGGGACCTGGGACTCAAGGTCCCTCACTGTCCTGATTGCCTCCAGCCTCTCACTTCCTTTATACTGTGATTCTCAAACCTCTCTGGACCTCACCCAGCAAAAGGGAACATCCCTTCACTTTTCCTGGAACTTGTGCCGTTCTTAATGCATCTCAAGATTTCATTTCCTTCTTTGGCTGCCTCATTCTACTGCCGACTCATTGAGTTTTAACTCCCCTAAAAATCTCCTGCTCTCTAGCGGACTAGCTACTCTCTGACTATGTTTCCCTAACCTTGTGACTATGGAGTCTTTCCTCAGTATCCTTCCCTTTTCCCCTCCCAGAGAGCCATCCAATAGAAAGACAAAAAGAAAAAGAAAAAATCACAATACCCTGAAAAAATCTGAAAATATGTGCAGTATACAACACTCGTGGACCTCTCTCCTCTGAAGAGGAGTGGTGGGGGTGTCTCCTCATATTTCTTCTTTCAGGCTATGCTTGTTCTTAATACTTTGCAATGTTCACTTTTTCTTTTTATTTGCTTATGGCTCTTTTTGTTTACTTTGTTGTAGTCATCTTTTTTTTTCTGCTTTTTTCTGCTTCTTATTCTTCTCTCTGCATCAATTCATGTAACTCTGCCTATGCTTCTCTGTATTTGTCACATTTGTCCTTTCTTACGGCCCAGTAATATTCTGTTACACTCATGTACCACCATTTGTTTAGTCTTCCTCAGTTGATGGACATCTACCTTGTTTCTACTTCTTTGCTTTCACAAAAAGTGTTGCTAGAAATATGCTGGTGTATATAAGTTTTCTTGTTATCAGTGGGACATAAGCTTAGTAATGGAGTCTGTGGGTCAGTGGGTGTGGCCATCTTAGCTTCTTTGCCTTAGAGTTGCTTTTTAACCTGGATCAGATGTTAGCATTTACCCTCATTGAATGCTGTCAGACCATGGTGCTACTGTGTTACAGGTTTTGGCTCCTGACTCTCCCATTAGCCAGCTTTGTGTCATCATCTCATTTGATGAGTCTTCCATCTATACCTTGATTATCCACGTCACTGATGTACAATGTTCCAGCACATAGGGCCTTCAGCAAATTGACATTAAATTCTTAGACAACTGTAATTCTCTTTGACCTGTTCCAAATCCACTTAATTGTGTAATTGTACAGTCCTCCTTTCTCCATCTTTTGCTCAAAAATAAGATATGTGATCAAATGCTGTGCTGAAATCTTGGTTTTATAGGTCAGATTCTCCTGATCCACTAGTTCACTGGCCCTTTCAAACATAAATCAGGTTCCATTTGGCCAGAGTAGCCTTTTGTAATATTAGGGGAAGGGAATAAGTGTTTTATAGCACCTGCTGCATCCTAAGTTCTGTGCTAAGTGCTTTACAGGTACTATCTTATTTGGTCTCCACTACCCTGTAAGTTAGGGGCTGCTCATATCCCCATTTTGCAATTGAGGAAACTTAAGACAGATTGAGATGACATGACTTGCCCAGGGTTCCACAACTAGTGAATATCTGGAGATGTCTAGATGTTTAGTAATCATCTAGAACTAATGATCCTTTCTAGAATTTTACCAAGAATTGAAGTAGAGTTCACTGATGTATAGTTTACAGACTCTGTTCTTTTTCCTTTTTGGAAAATCAAGACATTTGCCCTTCTGCAGGCCTGCACTCTCAGGTTTCCTGGGATCCGTTCAGGTATCATGAAAACTCAACAGTCACATCTGCGATTCTTTTTCAGGACCTGTGGGTCCTTTCTGGGTTGATTTCCCTTGTAGAATTTTAGTCCATGCGTGGGATCTACTCACATTTCTATGAACCCTTTAAAATCTTACCCCCAAATTTTAGAGTATATTTCAGAGCATTCCCACTTCCTTCTCTTATCACAAAATCAAGGCGTGAATAGTCACTTGACCCCAATGTATTCATCATTTTCTGCACCAGATATTTGTTCCTCCCTGTTCATGAAAATCAGATCTAGTATAGATTCTGCACTTGTTGGTTTCTCTGCCTTTTGAAGGACAAAAGTCTTATTAGATCAAGTCTGTCTGATTTTTGTCTAGATGTCTGGTCATTTCAAGTCTTCTATCATTACTATATTCTACCAGTCTTGTGATCTGTTTTCTTAACTTGCTTATTTCTACTTTCTGCTCAGTGGTCTGGAATATCCTTTTGACAGAAATGTTTTCTTTTTAACCCTTCACCAATCTGCACCTGAATGCTCGGTCATGCCCTCCCCCTCCCACCCCCTTTTCTGGATTTTCCAGTGTTGAGTAGACTGTTACACTGCCAAAACTCTCCCACCCTGTTTACCTGTTCTCTTTCTTAACAACATCCTTTCAGAGCTATATGCCAGTAATGGCTTTTATCCCACCAAGTCTCAGTGATACTTAGGAGGTCAAACTTTCCTCCTTTTATTAGTACCTTTAAGTCCTCTTGCCTATTTAAACTTGGACATTTACAATAATAGACATTTGAAGTCATGGGCTTTACTACTTATGACTTCTTTGGATTTTGTCTCACGTGACCTTTCTTTTATTATGGCAACTCTCTATAGTATCTAGTTTTGGGGATGTACATACGCAGTCTTCTTCTTTCCTTCCACCTTAAAGCTGCTCCCTTTCTCTCCCTCTCCCCCCCATTAGATTTACAAAATGCCAGACAACCACATTCTTATCATCCTTTGTGAGGGTAAGGAATATGTCATCTTTAAGCCAAGGTCCAGAAGTCCAAATCATGTTCTCAAAATCTACCTTCTTAGCCAGCTGTTCACTTCTCAGATTAATTTTTCTCTTCTTTATCCCTTGACTTCAGTGGCCATCAGTGAGGAAAAATGTAAACTATGCTTCTTTTTTTCTCCCCTACTTAATAGTATTTTATTTTTTCCAATTACATGCAAAGACAGTTTTCAGCATTCCCTTTTACCAAGATTTTGAGTTCCAATTCTTTTTCTCCCTCCCTCCTGTCTCCCCTCCCCAAATGGCATGTAATCTGGGATAGGCTGTACATGGACAACCATATGAAACATTTCTACATTAGTCATGTTATGAAAGAAGAATCAGAACAAAAGGGAAGAACCATGAGAAAGAAAAAAAAACAAAAGAAGAGAGAGAGCAAATAGCATGCTTTGATCTGCATTCAGACTCAGTAGTTCTTTCTCTGTCTGTGAATAGCATTTTCTGTCATGAGTTTTTTGGAGTTGTCTTCGATCCTTGTGTTAGGGAGAAGAGCTCAGTCTGTCAAAGTTAGTCTTTGCACAGGTTTCGTGTTACTGTGTACAATGTTCTGCTCACTTCACTCAGCATCAACTCATGTAAATCTTTCCGGGTTTTTTTGAAACCTGCTTGCTCATCATTTCTCGTGGAACAATAGTATTTATTCCATTACATTCCTATACCACAACTTGTTCAGCTGTTCCCCAGTTTCCAATTCTTTGCCACCACAAAAAGAGCTGCTATAAATATTTTTGTACATGTGGCTTCTTTTCCATTTTATTTTATTTTATTTATTTATTTATTCATTCTTAGGCAATTGGGGTTAAGTGACTTGCCCAGGGTCACACAGCTAGTAAGTGTCTAGTGTTTGGTCTGAGGCTAGATTTGAACTCAGGTCCTCCTGACTTCAGTGCTCTATCCACTTTGCCACCTAGCTGCCCCCCTTTTCCCATTTCTATGATCTCTTTGGGATGAAGACGTAGAAGTGGTATTGCTGGGTCAAAGGGTATGCACAGTTTTATTGCCCTTTGGGCATATTTTCAAATTGCTCTCCAGAATGGTTGGATCAGTTCACAACTCCACCACCAATACATTAGTGTTCCAATTTTCCCACATCTTCTCCAACATTTATCACTTTCCTTTTCTGTCATGTTAGCCAACCTGATAGGTGTGAAGTGGTACCTTAGAGTTGTTTTAATTTGCAATTTCTCTTATCAGTAGTGTTTTTACTTTCTTGTGACTTCATAACCATTGGCAACATTTTTAGGTTCCTTTGGGCAGTACATTTGTGTCTATGAACCACCAGGACATAGATGTCAACCATTCTGAGAAGCGTAAGAGTTTTCTCTTTTCTGTCTTGGATAAATGTCTTGGGAACACCCTTAATGACCAGGTAGACTAGTAGTTAGCTCAGGAGAGAGGTTGATGAGGGGAATGGGCAGGGCAAGGAGCCCCACCTTCTTTTCTCTTCTTCCCCTTTCTGAGTGGTCTCTCACATGACAGCTTCTCTGAGGGCTATAAAATTTCCTAGAAGACAAGCAGCTTTCCTTTTTCTTCCCTTCCTCCTCCATAGAATATTCTTCCACTCTCCAGTCCCCTGACAAAGATCAAGTTTGCCCTTTTCCAGCTGGGATCTCTTTTTTCCCCATTGATTTCCCCGCTTCTCTTTCCTTTTAGGATTGCCCATTGTTCTTAAGAACCTTCAGTGTGAAGGCCATTCCTGGAGTCCCTTCACCATTGGGAAGGAGGCCAGGTTACAGTTGGAAGGAAGAGAGTCTCTTGGCTGCATCTTGAATAGAAACGTTGTACGATTTTATAGTCAGATTTTAAGATGTGAACTCTGAGGTTATCTCCTCCAAGCCCTGTGTCGTGCTTTACGTTTCTGTTTAGTGTGGGAAATGAGATTGAGGGGTTGGATGACTTTGCAGAGGTCACAGAGAGCCAGGATTTGAACCAGCTGCTCTGGCTCAAGATTCAGCACCATTTTTCTGTGCCCCTGCTCCTTCTCCATGCTGATGGAGATTTCTGGCCTTGTTTTATTGGTTCTACTTGCCAGTGTTTCTCCCTCCCCTCAGAGCAGCTTTTTAATAACTTGTCATCCCCTTCTCACTTCCTTTCCTGGCTTCCAGCAGCTCCACAACTTCCTCCCTCGCCCGATTAAATGGATCAGCTGTCTATCTGACCAGCTTTCCCCACCCATCAAGCCACTCTACCCCTTTGTGCACTTAACCTGATGCTTGGTTCTGCTTCCTTTGGTTTTCTGCCTGGTCAGCAATTTTTTCCTTTTCCTTCTTGAGCCTCTCTCACTGGTCCTCCCTTTTTAATCTTGAATCTTTTTCCTCTGTCCTTTCTCACAGAAATGGGAAGTAGTCCTTCATGTTCCAGTGGTGACCTAATCAGAGAGTCCCCAAACTGACTGTTTTAGACACTGATTCAGGCTTCTAGATGAAACCTCATCACTCTTTGTACTGTTGAACTGTCTTCTGTCATGCCTCATTGCTAACCCTAATTGCACTGTTCAGTTTACACTGGTAGCTGCTGTATTGGCTTTTTTCTTCTTTTTAAACACATTTTAATTCATTTTGAACTTAAATACAAAAAGACTGAAAGGATTCAGTACAAAACCACGCGTTTCCATTTCAAAATGTTTACTTTTTTTTTTTAATGTATTTTCTAAGGCTAGCACCTTATCTTACCACCTGGCTGCCTTCTTGGGGAGACCCCAGAAGCAATGACAAGGTCAGACATACCAGAGGCAGAGGCAGAGAAGCACCTCTGAAGTCACACAGTGGTGCTGACTTCAGCGCCCCAGTAAATGGGCACAGCTCTTTTTCAGACTCTATTCCACTTTCTTCTCTGAAATCAAACACAAGCAAGAACCAGTGATTTCTTAACTCCGGAAAAAGAAGCAATTAATATACTGGAAGTCAGAAGACCCAATTCTGAAGCTCTTAGTGACCTCATTCCCCCCTTCTCCTCTATTGTCTGTCTGTCCCTCTCTCTCTCCCTCTCCCTCACTCACTCCCTCCTTCCATTCCCAAGGGTCCCCTCTTCCCTGCAGACAGAAAGAGTAAACCAAATGCATCTCTTTCTTGCCAATACCACACGCCTTTCCCCAAAGGTAAGAGATCCCAGCTAAACTAATTTTTTTTTTTTTTTTTTGGTTAGGCAGTGGGGTTAAGTGACTTGCCCAGGGTCACACAGCTAGTAAGTGTTATGTATCTGAGGCCAGATTTGAACTCTAGTCCTCCTGACTCCAGGGCTGGCGCTCTATCCACTGTGCCATCTAGCTGCCCCCTAAACTAAATTTGATTGACAGGGTATCCTGTTGACTTTTAATTGAATGTATTGAAAATTGGTCTGCTGTGAAAAGCTCTTCCCAGAGTTGGCCTGCCTGTCTGGCATCTAGCAAGCTTGTTCTGCAGTGGCCTTTGAAGAAACCACAGTCTAAGTTCCTTACAAAGCAGGGCTTTTCTCATGTGTTGTGCACCGAGGCAGGTCACATTAGGAAGAATTAGCTTCTAATACCTGGCCTAAGGTAGATTCCTCAAGACAACAGCTGCAGCTTCTCGTTGGTGTGATAAACTCAGCCTGCACTTGTGGCCATTCTTGACGTCATGGCCTGTGGTCTTCCTACCCTGGTCTTTAACTCTCAGACCCCTCTTCTGCTACAGCCCCACGCCCACCCCAACTCTTTTTGTTTTCCTGTTAGCTTTCCCCAACCTCCCATTGCTGATGAAATCAGTGGAGGAGCCATGGGTGGAAAAAAGGATCCCTGTGTGTGATGATGGCCCTCCCAGGACCAGATTTCTCTGAACCAGGCCGTCAGAGGAAATGAATGAGTGTTCATGCTGACTTAGAGCCAGCCAGCTCTTGCACCTGCAGGCTGTAGGGCCCCTCAGGAGGGGACACCAGCAGTTCAGCACTGCTTTTTCCACTGAGCCTGTGCCGTGGCGCTCAGTTGGAATTTTAAACCCCATGGGTGTACAGAGCCCAGGTGGTGGAGCTGATAACTTCCCATTTTCTGCAGCAGGCTACACTTCTTGATGTGTAAGTTGGGTTCCTTTACCTCTTGAGAGCTACATACCCCTGTACGTTTTTTTTTTTTTTTCAGTCTTGCCACATACATACCCTTTTCCAAATTTGGTGAAACCAAGAAATACTTAATTGAACTCTTGCTTTTGGCTTGTGGGCTTATTTCTAAAGCTCTGTGGCCTCCTCCGTCTATCTTTCATGCCTGCCATTGGGAATTATGCTTTAAACCCAGTGTCCTTGCCCATCCATGTACCTAACTCCCTGTTTGGAAAGCATGCAGTTTTTGAGCTGATTCTACCAGTTAGCAGTCATTAGAAAGGAAGAAGGGAGTTTCTGAAAGGTTGTGAGTCACCCTTTTCCTTTTTCCCCAGCTCTGGAGCCCAGTGCCTTTCAGGTTAACTTGTAACCTAGCAGTGGGGTTGTGTTGATTGGGGCCAGGCCACCTGGATTGAGGTCTGCTCTGAAGCCATTCTGCAGTCTAATCATTCATTGAACATTAATTAAGCACCTCTTTTTTCCATTGGGCTATCCCACAACTACGTGCTATTGCGGGCTCAGGCGGAGGGAGCCCTATTTCAAAGAGCGATGGTAGAAAGAAGAGAGGGCATTCGGGCTGAGCAGCCTGGCAGCTTGCAGGCTGATGTCTCCAGAGGCCCCTACTCTGACATGTTCTTCCCAGAGCTTTGCTTCCTCTCTGCCCCTTCCCGGTGACCACTTCTCCTCCCTGTGGGAGGCAGTGGGAGATGAGAAAGAACAGAGAATATTAAAGTGGAAAAAGCCCTTTGAGCAGGTGATGCTGTCTTTCCACAGGAAGACAGGTTGTGTTTTTTTCTCTTTTGGAAAAATAGCTGCTCATGAGGGCTCAGTTGGACCAAGACTATTAGAGGATTTTCCTTGTGAGATATCGCCCCCTCCACCCGTCCCCCCGTCCATCCCGCTGGCATAGAGTGACTTTTGTCCAGCCTCGGCTCTGAGAGTGAAGGGGAGGTCACGCCGTGCATCACACAGAACCAGAGGGGAGAGAAGAAGCTTTCCCACTTGTCGAGGTGTCCCAGATCTCCCTCCCAAGACTCCTGATTCCTTCCTTTTGTAGAAAAGGGAAGCCTTTCCCTGGGCTGTGGCCATCTGCCTTCAGCCTGGCGTCCTCCGTCAGGAGCCCCAGTGTGGATGTGGATAAGCCGCCTCACCCCAACTTTGCAGCTGACTCCTGAGTCAGGCTCTAGAAGATGGGAACGCTTCCTTTGCGTTTGTTCCTGCAAGAGGTGGTTAGGGTGTCATTCTGTGGAGAGCCCTGGGACAACGTCACGGTCTAGGGAAATCCTGTCTCCTCCTTTCCCCTTGCCTTGAGCGACACGCTCTTCAGGGCTCGTGCAGGGCTTCGAGGTGGGCAGACGCCAGAGGGGCTGGTTCAGTTGCCTTGGCACTGATGAGCTCCTTTCTTCCTCCGTCCTTTCCCTGTCCTCCTGTCCCCCCCACTTCCCCTTTTTCTCTCTCACTCTGTCTACAGGGGACACTACACAGAAAATGAGAACTGCTCACTACCCCACCCCAGCCGAATTGGATGCGTATGCTAAGAAGGTCGCCAACAACCCACTGACTATAAAAATCTTCCCCAACAGCGTAAAGGTTCCCCAGCGGAAACACATCCGTCGTACTGTGAACGGACTTGACACGTCGACCCAGCGCTACAGCCCGTACCCGGCCCAGGCCACCGCCAAGGCCGGTCTGCTAGCCATCGTCAAAGTGCCGGCCAAAAGCATCGTCAAAGACTTTGACGGCTCCCGTGCCCGGCCGCTCCCGGAGGCCGTCATGAACCCCCCGTCGGCCCCGTATGCCGCACCTAGCACTTTAACCCATCCCCAGGCCCTGGCCCGCCAGCAGGCCCTACAGCATGCACAGACGCTGGCTCACGCCCCGCCCCAGACGCTGCCACACCCTCAGGGTATCCCACAGTCCCAGGCACTGTCCCATTCCCAGAGCCTCCAGCAGGGCCTGGGCCACCCTCAGCCTCTGGCCCACCCCCCGACCATGGCTCACCAGGGCCTGCAACACCCCCCCAACCCCTTGCTGCAGCCAGGTTTGCATGGAGGCCGGAAGATGCCTGACGCAGACGCCCCACCGAATGTGACCGTGTCTACCTCAACCATTCCCCTATCCATGGCAGCCACTCTGCAGCAGACCCAGCCCCCGGACCTGAGCAGCATCGTGCATCAGATCAACCAGTTTTGCCAGACGAGGGCAGGCATCAGCACTACCTCAGTGTGCGAGGGGCAGATCGCCAACCCCAGCCCCATCAGCCGTAGCCTGCTTATCAATGCGAGCACTCGAGTGTCGACCCACAGTGTCCCTCCTCCGATGCCTTCCTGTGTGGTCAACCCCGTGGAGCACACTGTCGCCACAGCGATGCCCACCACTGGTGCTGTCAACCTGCCCATGGTGGGGATCAACCGAGCAGCGGTCGGCTACCCCAGCGACCTCAAGCCAGTGGCCTGGAACCAGCACCAGCTGGCCCACTTGCAGCAAATGTGCAGTGAGGCTGGCGGCAGCTCTGCCAGTGGCCTGGCAAACAAGCTTCCTTCGGGGCGAGAAATGGCAGGGCCAGGTTTTACGGGCAAGGCGCCCACTTATCCACAGGAACTTTGCATGGGCCAGCCCTTCCACCTGAAACCACCCTTGGAGAAACCAACCCCGTCCCCACCTGTCAATGGCCCAGCGGCCCCGCTGGCCTACCCCAATGGGCATTATTTTCAACCCCTGTGGAACAACATTCTGCCCACACCCAACAGCGACAGCTCTGGTTCACAGGACCTCGCCATGCCCTTCCATGGTGGGCAGCCTACAGGCGCGCCCCTCGACTGTGCCGCGGCTGGGGCCCACTATCGTGCCGGTACCGCGGCCAGCACGGTGCCTGGCCAGAACAACTTGATGCAAACAGTGGATTACCTGAGTGGGGACTTCCAGCAGGCCTGCTTCCGTGAGCAGAGCCTGGCTATGCTGAGCAAGGCCCACCGGCCCCCCGGCAGCCGGGCCCCTGAACCTACAGATAGTCGCAATCTTCATATTCAGCACCCTGGCTATAGATAGGTGCCATTGCTGAGACACAAAATACACACAAAACACACACACACACACACACACACAGAGACACATAGGTTTAGTCTTAATTTTGAATGAATTGTTTTTAACTTTCATAACTCCTTTGTGATCTTTCTAATTCACTACCCTAGGGAGGGCTGCTGTTGGCTCACAGGGTGGTCACCTTTGTCCTTCATCTTCCTGCCCAATGCCCAGTGTCAACTTCTTAGTTTTAGAACATCTCAGAACAGGATTTTTCCTTGGTCTCGCTGCCCACCTGCCATCGGTTTCTTCCCTTAGCATGTCCTCTCTTCCTCCAGTTCGCCCAGTAAGCTCGGCTCTCTTTGTTTTAGCCTCTTTCCACCACCTATCCTATCTCTTCTCTTTCCATTCTTCGCCTCCCTCCCCACCAACACTCTCCCTGTCTTAAGATAGTGGTGCCCACTGAGGGAACTGCCACAGGGCTACAGTGGCCCCCTAGACCCACAATTTCTGAGCTTGGCCTCTTCTCTGCCTCCCTTCCACCTTTGAAATGGACTAGATTTCTCAGACCCTCCGAAAACTGTAACATCCCCACCCAACTCATGATTCTGGTTTAACTTCAAGGTCTCTCCTGGGCCTGTGGTGGGCTCATCACCACTCACAGGAAGTGTCCACACACTGCCCAGTAAGGACCTTCCAAAATCTGGTCTTACTGATGTTTTTGTGCCTGGTGCCCTGTTCTGTTCCTCCTCAAGAGCAGTGGATGCAGAACCCTCCTGGAAGAAGGATCCGGTTTGTCCCTGCCCGGCCTGCTAATATGATTTCTCACACACCCTTTCTCACTGGGATCAAGGAAGATCACACCAGAGTTTGGAGTTAAAAACAACCTCCCCCACCCCAATTTAAAAAAAGTAAAATACGTTGGGTTCTTTCTCTGTCCACTGGCTAAGACTACTGCTCTACACTGTAAGTTTTAATGTAACATTTTGTATGAATGTAGTGTGGGTTTGAGTAGCGTTGTGTGTGAGTGGCCCCGAGGGCACGTCCACCCACTAACCACCTTGTGTCACAGCCCCTCCGCTTAAAGAAGGAAAAGAAAAAAAAAAAACACAAAGCCTTAAGCTCTGAACTCTTTCTTTACCAAACAAACAGGAGCATGGTTTTAGTATCTGGAGACCTACTGATTTCGGAAATGACCTTCCCCTGCCTGTCACCTTGTGCAGCACACACACAAACGTGCACACACACACTCACACACACATATACACTCACCTTTTGCGATCAAGTAGCTTCTAGTTGTTTAAAGACTTTTAAAATGTTTTCAATCACTGAGAACGTAGATGACATTTCTTTGTAACCATTTACTTGTTTCTCCCGACCCCTCACCCCTTTGAGTTGTAGTCACTAGTTGGCCTGTAATTGTTTTTCTTTTCCCTCCCGTTTCTTTTCGAGTTTCTGAGTTTAGCCATGTACCGCACAGACCCTCTTCTCTGTCCTGCCTCTCCCCCGCTTCCCCACTCCTGCATCTCGGGGTCCATGTGAGCTGATGATGTCCTTATTTAAGAGTTGAGGGTTTGGGTCTGCTACCCACTGTTGTTTAGCGAGAAACTCTTTAGTGAGCTGAAGCAATGTGACTGAAGACTGGTTTTTTAAATTATGTGTTGGCGAGTTGCCTTATATTTAAGAAAAGAAAAAAAAGAAAAAAAATGCCTGATTGTGTTATGCCAAATGATGATCCAACATGAAGTCCTAATTTATTGTTTCTGATTGTTCTCCTGCAGTCTGTGTGAAAACTGGTCAAGGCCCCCTCGGGGCCCACAGAAGCACTGGAGGCTTGTCTTTCACCATCTCTGCCAAGATGTCTCCCTCTTCCCCCGTCCCTTCCTCTGCCCTCCCTCTCTCTCCTGCTGCCCTCTACCCCAAACTATTCTCTGTCAAAGCCAGGTTTCAATGTCCCCTCCCTCTCCCACAGGCTCCCTTAGGCAAGCAAGATCTTTCTAGAAGTTAAGCGAGACACTTTGTCAACTCTCCCCTCTTCCCCTTCCGGCCAAAACAACAGTGGCTCTCTCCAGGCTCACACCCATTGAAAGAAGTCAGACTGGAACTGATTTGTCGGGCATTAAAGCCAAACCGTCAAAACTCAAGTCCTTCTCCTGGTGCAGGGATGCAGGGGGCTGAACCACTTGGCTCCTCCAATGTCTATGGATCATGTACTGTGAACTCCCAGCCCCTCCTCCAGCCCCTTTTTGGGGGATTGTGGAGAGAGCAGGCCAGTCTCTTCCCCCACCCCCACCCCCACCCCACCAGCAATAAGGGTCCAACATGAGGCTGCCTCACACCCACCTGCTCTGGCCCAGGGAGAAATGGGCTCCCCACCCATGTTCATAAGCTGTAGCATTACCTGCCTCCCTCACCCAGCTGCCCCCTTCACCTGGGCTGATACGTGGGTTTAGTGGGGGGTGACTACTTATGACTAGTAAAAATCTAGCCTTCTGACCTTGTCCTATTTATTTAATGCTGTGAATGTTTGAGGTGGATTTTATTTTCTCGTTAGAACAGTTTCCAATGTCAGATTTGTAGCCAATTCAGGAAAAGAGGTTCCTCTGGAGACAGCCCAGGCCACCTCTTTCTTTTGGGGAGAGGCCCTCAGATTTTCATCCCATTATTTTGCCTCTTCCACACCAGAGACCCCATTTTGCCCCACAACTACTGACAGCTCCAGCACAGCCAGGAGCCACAGCCAGGGCAGAGAGAACAGTCCCCTGATGTATGCGGCCCCCCCATCTCCTACCCTGCTAGGGCTGTTAGGGTTCTGTCACGGGGCTTCATTTAGGGGAGCGATGTACGACTGGCTGATCTAACGAACCCCGGTCAGCTTTGGGGTTCTTCAGGACAGGAGACTTTGTCACTGCCGGGCAGGCCTCCCAGAGGCCCTGTGGGAGGGCCAGGCCTCTTGAGGTGGACCCTGTGACAGCTGCTGTAATCTCATGAAAACAAACCCCTTCTGGTATTATGAAGCTGCTTCTCATGTGCTACGGGTATAAACTAGAAAACCTTTTTTTTTTTTAATTTGTCTGCAGGAAAATTAAAAAAAAAAATAAAAAAAGCGCAAAGCCAAAAACGTGTGTCACCTGCCCCTTTGTGCTCTGTCTGTAGTGTCTGATGGGCCCGGGCGGGGCATGAAGGAGGGGGGGTGTTGGGAGGGCCCATTGCTGACTGGGACCTTGCTATGCTTGAAGAGGGACTGGATCCTCGGCGGTAATAATTGCACCGAGAGGCACAAAACCCCTTCAGATCTCATCTCTGGTTCCTCATGAAAGTCCCTTGAGGGGTGAATATGTGAAGTGTAAATACGTTTCCAGACCCTTGAACTTAGTTGTGATCCTTGAGATCCATGATGGACCTTTCTTGGTAGGAACTTTTTTGTTCTTCCCATTTAACTGCTGGGGAAACTGAGGCCTATTGATGCCCATTAAATAGATTTCCTGATTCAGGGCCACATTGAGGACTTGGGCCTCCTTCTGGGTCTCCCTATTGAACCCTGCTGGGAAAGGCTCGCAGAGGGAGGAGATAAGTGCGATATAGGCTCAAGTCCTGTCACTCGCTAGCGACGTTCGTTGACTTTGACCCTGTTTCTTATTCTATAAGATAAAATTTTATGAAAGGTATTTTATATTTCAGAGTTGTAAAGACTAAATGAGAGACTGGATATGAGAACTTGAAAGGTCACCTTGCGCAGGAAGGCATTAGAATCGTAGATCTAGAGCTGAAAGAACCTCTTAGTTCAATTCATTTTTCATCCTCCCGGGAATGCCTCAGGTCTGAGGTTATGTGGCAGAACCGAAGGCGAGAGCTAAATCCTCTGGGTTCCGGTCCATCCCATCCCAACTCTACGCCGGTTCTCAGAACCAGAGGTGGCATTGCCAGCCGCCTTCAGCCAAGGACTAGGTTAGCTTGAAGGCGCAGAGATCCAGTGTGATGCTCCTGGGCTACTGGATTTGTAGGAAGGTGCTCACAGCTGGTTCTCCAAATTGCCTCCTTTCCCTGCATTGAGTGTCAGCTCCCCTGTAACGAAATACAACAGGTATGGCAGGTCTAGAGCCATCTTGTCCCCGTCAACTCCAGAGAAGTACTGGGGGAGCTGGTGCTTGGTGCTTCCCCTGCCCCCAAATACAAGAATGCCCTCCTTCAGAAGAAAAAATGGGGGGGCAGCTAGGTGACGCAGTGGATAGAGAGCTCTGGCCTTGAAGTCAGGAGGACCCGAGTTCAAATCCAGCCTCAGACACCCGATGCTTACTAGCTGTGTGACCCTGGGCAAGTCACTTAACCTCGATTGGCTCATCAAAAAGCAAAGAAAGAAAAAAATGCCCTCCTTCCTGGTACCTCAGGGCCTGATGCCCTCTTCCTCACTATATAGACAGAGATGAATACACTCGGGTCTGAGGACTCATGAGCCCTGATGGGTGACACTGGCTTTTAGATGTCAGAGATATTGGGGAGCTGGGTTTCATTTGGAGGATTAGCCTTACCTCTGTGCCCCTTGGCATTGCTCTAGAAAAGGGCTGCCCTCCTGTTTCCTAAGGAATGTTTTAGGGGACATGGATTCTGGAAGTAGGGAGGGGAGGGGACGGAGTGATCCATGAATCAAGACCTCAGCTTCTGCCTTTCCCAAATTAAGTTGGATTAAGTGACTGACTCCCAGCTCTAACCTGCAGGTATGACAGACAGATACTGGCCACCCCCCTAGTCTCCAAATGGCAAGGAAAGTCATGTGAATGTTTGGCTATGCAACCTTGACTAAGTCACTTCCCTGGTCCACAGCTTTCTAAATGAGAGGGTTAGATTAGGTGGTCTCCAAGGTACCTTCCAGCAGTAAGCCCTCCTGCAATCTAAGGACACCATCCATAAACCTTTCTGGGCAGCTGGACAGGTTCTCCAACCCCCTTCAGATTTTCCCCCTACCCCTTACCCAGTGCAGGCAGAGTGGAAAGAACACTGCTTGGCACAGCACCTGGCCCACAGCAGGTGCTTAATAAGTGTTGATCGATTGCTCTGGCAGCTTCCCTATGACTCGACTAGTTGACCCTTCTGAATCTTCAAGTTTCCTCCTATAAAATCTAGGTATTAATCTTGCCTTATTTGACAAGGCATTTGGGAGAAAGACTGCAAACCTCAAAAAGTGCTAGAAAATTTGAGGAATTTTGAGGTTGAGGGATTCCTACATCCTCCAATGGCCCAAATCAGTGGGTCAGGGCCCTGCCTGCCCGCTGGAGCTATTGCTGCCCAGTCAGATGGGGGTGGTGCCAGGATAAAAGTTCCAAGTCTGCCCTTGACTTCTGGGGTCAGCTTCCTTCTAGATCCCAATCGGTCCTACCAACCTTCAGGCTCTTACTTGAACTGTTTTGTTTTCTGTTGGAGTCTAAAGCGCATCCAAAAAGCCCAGGACTTGGCAGCTACCGGCCCCAAGACCCCAGGAATCAGTGGCGTTTGAATCCTATTAGCTGGCTGTTTTCCAGAGCCCTTTATCTGGCCACCTTATGTGGTCAGGTCCTAGAGCAGGGGCACCCTGGACAGTTTCATAGGCAAAAAGCTTCTGAACTCCTTTTCAGAATGATGTTTCTAAATGCGTAAAGCACATAGGACTGCAAAGGAAACCGACTATATAGAAATAGAGATGTGAATTCTTTCCCACGCAAGTTCATGGGCAGCCCTGGACTCCCGTTAAGAATCGCTGGCCTGGAGCTTGTTTTGGTCCCTATTATGGAGGTGCTACCTACTAGAACTTTAAGCCCAAATACCCCCAAATAAGCCCTGACTCCCAGTCCCCTCCATGGGATGGCTCGCTGCCCTTTATTGGACCATAAGCTTCTTGAGGACAGACTGGCTTCATGGGTGTATTTGCATCCCCAGCACACATTAGGAAGCACTGTTTTCTCCCACTCCCTAGCTACCATCCCACTTTGGCTCTTGGCACTTCAAGAATGCTGGGAAATTTTATTAGAGGTCAGATGATGCACGGGTAAGATAAAATCTTCCCTAATGTGAGAATTCGTCCTCCTCCCAGCCTTCTTGTTCTCTAAGCTGTGTCATCCAAGGTCACACTCAAGGACCAAGAAAAAAGTGCGGCTTGGGGGCGAGGGTGGAGCGTCCTTCCTCCGTCAGACCACCAGAGGGAGCTCGGCTCAAGTGCTGAGGACAGCGGCCAGTGGCCATCTGTGGCCGCCAGAGGGGGCTGCTGTCCCAGTGCAGTGAAGGACCCTGGACCTGAGAGCCTAGAATCCTAGGTTGGAATTCTGTCTCCACCCCTTTCCACATGGGGGACGTTAGGCAAGCCTGGCCTGTCCTCGTCAGCAAAGTGAGAAGGAGCCAGAGGCTGTCAATATTCAGCCTCCCTGGGCATCTGAAGTCCTCCCCGTCAGTGTGGTCCTTACCCTTGTCTCTAGGGCCTCCCCCTCCACCCCCTTCTCAGGCAGCTGTGCAAAACCTTCCTGGGCCCTGAGCCAGCCAGGCCCTCCTCCCACCCCCCACCCCCGGAGCAAAGCAGGGCTGGACAAAGTTAATAAATACACAATCCAGAATTTATTACAAACCAGGACTCCCCCGCTGTGCCCCACTGGGCACCCGAGCAATAAATAACCGGAGAGGGCACAGCTTCAGGGGATGGGGGAGGGGTGGAGTTAAAAACAAAATGACCGCTAGCCGGGCTAACTCCAGCCCCACCTCGCTTCCCTATGGCTCTTGGGATGGGGGCCAAGCAGCTTGCCTTGCTCCCCAGTACAGTACAATGGGCAGTGGGGCCAAGGCAGCCGAGGACCCCCCAGGAAAGGAGACGGCTAGGATCATTTATTTCAAGCCCTTAAAGACCCCAGTGACTGTTTCCCCCTCCCCATCCCCCAGAGGGGTGAGGGGAACTGGGGGAAAAAGCACCAAAAAGAGGCACCTGAGGGAGGGGGTACATGGCAGGGGGACACAGTGGGAGCCCAGTGGGCGGCGCAGAAGGGCAACCTGGCCTAGTGTGGTGAAGGGGGAGGGGTGAGAGGGGGGACCTGCCCCCCTCCCCAGGCCCCAGCCCAGTCCTCAGCTCAGGATCTTCTTGGGCAGCTCGACAGAAGCGCGGATGAACACAGCATCATCACGCACATAGTTGCGCTTGCGGATGTCCTGGTGGGAGATGAACTTGGGATAGCCAAAACCCAGGGCGCTCTCGTCCACGGAGCCCCTCCACGTGCCCGGCTTCTGGAAGTTCTTCCAGTGGGGGTCCGGATGGAAGGTCTCCGTGACGTGCTGGGGTTTGGTGACCGTCGGGTCGCTCTGGTCCAGCAGGGAGAAGGTGACCCGTCGGGCGAAGGGCCACTCCAACAGGTTGTCAAAGGCGCCGGGCAGCACTCGGATGTACAGCGACAGATGGGTCCCCTCCCCGCTGCCGTTGCCGTTGAGGAAGGCCGACACCTGGAGCTTGTAGCCGTACTTGTGGGTGTAGAAGGCCGGGCTGAAGCATTCGTGGTTGGAGCGAGCCTTGGCTTCCTGAAGGCGGCGCCCATAGCCACCGATCTTCCAGATCAGGACACCGTCGCAGCCCACGGACAGCTCCTCCACGTCCCTCCGCAGCTCCTGCAACTCCTGCCGCTGCCGACTCACCAGGGCACACATCATGGCCAGGTGGGGCTTCACGCTCTCCTCCATGTGGCGGCCCATCGCCATCTTGGGGCACTGTGGACATCAAGAAGGAGGGCAGAGAGCCAGGTAGGGTGAGGGAGCAGGGCAGGGTAGGAGAAGCCAGCCTGGGCAGCCCAGCTAGACACAGGACACACTTGGAGCAGAGCAAAAGGACCTAGGCGAAGGTAGGAGCACGGGCAGGGGTGGCTGGGTGTGTCCACCATTCCATGATTTGTCTAGTCCAGTCCCCTCCCCCCATCCCCCGTTCTGCCGAGGGAGGAGGAGAGTGGGGCCCGGCTCACACAGCTCCTAAGAAGCCCCATGTCTGCCATGTTGGGGAAAGCTTCGGTCCCAAGGCTAAGGACACTTACCCGGTGTTTGCAGCCAGCATCTTTGAACGGGCACAGAACGGGGGCTGAGCTGCAGTTTTCTTTCAGGTGGCTGGACAAGTCCTCTCGAGGAATGCTCCCCATTCCACACTGGTTGGGGCACGGTACGGGGTAGCGGGGGCACTGGTGCTGGTGGTTCTGCGGTGGGGAGGGACAGAGCAGTGAGTGACTTCTGGAATCCTGGGATTGGGGAGGGTTGGATTTGGAATCAGACCCCACCTCTGCCAGCTTGACCATGGGCAAGTGACTTCCCCTACCTGGGCTCCCAGACTCACATCAAATAAAAGGGTTGAACCTTTTACCCTCTGAAGTCCCAACCAAATCTGGATGTGGAAGTGACCTTGGAGGGCTCCTCCAGACCCACCCCCTCAGTCTTGCAGACAGGATGGAAGAACTGAGCCACGGCCCGGGAACCAAGTTGGCACGTGAATCTCGGCTCTTTCCATCTCTACTCCCTTGGCTCCCTAGCCACTCCTACCCCCTCCCCAGCGGGGCTCAGGAAGGGGCCGGTTCACCTGGATGGTATCAAAGACAAACTCCTTGGTGCAGTAGGCACAAGGCTGGGTCCGCTTGGGACACTCCGTTACCATGTGCTGCCCCAGCAGCCGCCGCATCATTCGGGCCCCACACTTGTTCTCACAGTACACGCTCTCCTGTGGGCAGACCCCCTCGTGGCTCTAGAGGCCAGGGTGGAAAAGAGAAAGAGCCCCCAGAACCTTTATCCTTGGCGACTCCAGAGTCCAAATCCCCACTCCTGGAATACTGGTCCATCACAAGGGCCCCCACGTCCCCCTGGCCGCACCCCAATGACCTGTCTCCCAGACCCCAGACTCTCTGCCCCTGCTGGTCGCAGTCCACCCAGCACCCACAGACTCCAGTCCAGTCAGTCTCCTTTTCCCCCTTTCCCCCACATACCTCATAGGCCTCCCCCGTGAAGTCGATGCCACAGAAGTCACACTTGAGCCTCCGCTTGGGGCATTCGTGCTGAAGGTGGGTAGGCAAGTCCCTACGGCTCAGCTTGGCACTGCAGCGGTTGGGGCAAGAGATCACGTTATAACCGCAGGAGCTCAGATGGACCTGTGGAGGATGGGACAGTGGCTCTTCGGGCTGAGCCTGGGCATCTCCCCCCAGTGCCTCCCGAGGGCCTGGAGGCTCCCCTTACCTGCAGGTGGCGTAAGGCTCCAGTCCAGCGGCAGCCCTCCTCACTGTGGATGCAGCGGATGGCCAGGCTCAACACCTGAACTTCCAGTTCTGGGTCTGGGTAGATCTGGGAGGGGAGGCATAGGTTAAGGACCCTCCTTTGACTGGGGAGGCCTAAATCCTTGTCCTGGCTTTGGCACCATCTCACTGTATGACCCGGGACAAGTCATTTCACTTCTCTGGGCCTCGGCTACCCCTTCTGATACGTGTGGCCAAGGCTCCTCGCCCATGCTACCATTTTGACTCCTGTTTTGTTATGTTATGAATTTTAAGATTCTGTGTTCTCTCCTCCTCATCCCACCACTCCAGGGCCCGTGGACAGGCAGAGATAGCCAGGCCTACCCAGCTGGGCTCCAGGACCCACCCCCTTGGCTTTCCTCCTGACTCCTCCCCGCTCCCAAGACCTGAGCCTGGAGTGGGGGAGGGGTCCCTGCTCTGGGCCCAAGACTGGCTCTAAGCCCAGCCCCTAGGACAGAGGGCGGGAAGGCAGCTTCCTGTGGGCACAGAGTGGTCTCTGTGCGCCTTGGAGCACTGCCCCCCCCAGGGCGTTGTGCCCAACACCAACCCCCCCACCCCACCCCCCCCAACCGCACACACAGGGCAAACACCAGTGACTCCAGTTTAAAAACTGGTGGGGGAAGGGGGGAAACAAGCCTCCTTTGTGGGGGCACACAGAGCCCCTTGCTCCAGAGTTGACATTGGCACTGTGCTACTGCCCTGACTGCCAACACCCCCTCTTCCCCACAGCCAGTGGCCAAAATGAGGCTGGTGTTAGGAGGGAGGATGGGATAGCCATTGAGACGCCCACTTGGCACCCTGCTCTCCAGGCCTCACCTTAGCATAGTCCAAAGGTAGCTGATCCTCAGGACACTTAAAAACTCCTTCACTGTAAGAGGAAAAACAATCCAGGAGCAAGGGTGAGATAAGTCGGACCCTGACCCCACCCCCCCCAGAGCAAATGCCCTGGGCTACAAGCCAGCCAGGAGCTGCCCACCTCGCCTCCAGCTAGCTGCACCCCCTCTTAGGGCACTTTAGACCTCCCTTTGCCCCAGTCTCTCCTATCTGTGGGCAAAGAGGAGGAGATTATGGCCACGCCCCCCACCCCCCACCCCCAGCCTGGCCTGACTGGGCCAGCCCCCCCAAGCAGGGCTGGCCAGACCGGTTCCCAAACCTGCCTTCGGCAAGAAACAGACACACAAAGGGTGGGGAGCCAGGCAGCCTTCAGGAGCAGTAGCCTGCTCCTCCAATGTTCCACCCTCCCCCCAAGCTGGAGACCCCCTCCCCAACTCCTGTCCCCATGGAGGAGAGTGGAGATGCAAGAACCACAGAGGCTATGGAGAGGGCAAAGACAGCTGCTTCAGGCAGCATTTGGCCAAAATATGGCAGCTGCTGCTAACTCATCTGCACCCCCATGGCAGCTGGGCTGGGGGATATGAAGGGGCCTCCTCCTATTACCACCCCCCCAATCCTAATCCATCACTTACTTGGTTCTACAATTTCTCAGGGGGCAGACTGAGAGTACAAGGGCTGCCTCACCAGGGCTACCTCCTCACTGAGGCTCCCTAGCCCCACCACTCTCCCCCACCCACAGCCACTGTGATGTCAGGGCAAAGGTCATTCCTGGAAGCCCCACCCTTAGTGTCACATCTCCCCCAAAACATGGGGGGTGGGGAGGCTTGGGAAGTGAGAGGGGACTGCCTGAGCCATGAGGCTGCTATCTGGGGAAGGGCTCTGGTCCTCCCTCCCTGAATACACTCAGGTCTATGCCAGGAAAATACATGCCCTTCGCCCTAGAGCTGAAACATAGGACCAACACGGCGAGGTTCCCCCAAGCCTGAATCTGCTCTCCACCTTCATTCATCATCCCCTCCAAACCCCACCGTGCTGCGCCAGCCTCTCTATCATACCCACTCCCACTAATTGGTAACTCCCACCCAGTAACAAAGTGTTGTGGCAGACCCTCAGCTAGGGCACAGACCCCCGTGTGCCTGACACAGTCTGGAAGCCTTGGCCACCCCTTCCCAGAGGTGCCCCAGGGGCATGGCATTCCTGACAGGCAGGTCTGAGTCAGGTGGAAGGAGTGGGCATGAGGCAGGCAGGGACAGGAGGAGTTCAAGGGGCCACGTGGCAGCTGGCAGCTTCCAAAGCACTGGCACCTTCATGGGCATGGTCAACCCCACGCCTAGCTGCCCAGACATTCTGCTGTTTCCTGATCAAGCCCCTAGGTCCCCAAGCATCCGGACTACTCCATAACCACTAATAAGTATGCTTTGAGGGACTTTGACCATGCTTTCAAATGCTTTATCGAGTTTACAAAGAGTTTTCCTGGCAGTGCCTCTACAAGCCAGCTGCCAAGGGGCTTCAGCAGTCCAGTGTTATTCAATTATCCCCAATGCCAAGGGACAGTGCCAAGCCATCTGCCTACCTGTGTAGAGAGTGCCTAAGAACTGGCTGGTGTAATGAATGGACTGTCTGGGAGAAATAGCCCTGGAGGGAAGTGGGGCTCCGCTTGACTTCTTTCAAGAATGTGCTGAGTTAGGAATTTTAGAAAAAAGGGGGAAGGGATTGGGTCAGCTCCCCTCCCCCCCCATCATGAGCAAAGACTCCACCTTGAGTGGCACTAAAGCCAGGGCCTGGGATGGGGAAGGAAGACAGTGTTAGACTCAACTCTCTCCCCCCAAAACATTCTCAGGGGAAGCCTGAAGTGGGGACCCCTCCCCAGTGGAATCTATTCCCTTTCTCCCTCTCTAGAAGGACCTAGGGAGGCTGGGCTGGGGGGTGGGGGCAGGGGAGAAGCAGCTGCAGCAGAATGGACTCCTTCATCAGCCCAGACCCTGAAGCCAGCCAGGGAAAGAGACTGGGGGGGGGGGGGGGGTCTGTCCCTATACGGAACTAGAGTCCAGAAAGAGGCTTGTGCTGGGGAAAGAGCCCTGCCCCCACCCACCCAGGGCCTGGGGGGAAAAGGCAGGATGAGTGGAAGCGATGGGAAGGAGGGTTGGGGGCCTAGAGAGAGGAAGAGGGGATTTCCGGGTGGGGGGAGGTGGGGAGAGAGGCCTGGAGGCAGGAGCGGGGGAGGGGGAAGGCAGTTGGACTTGGCAGCCCTGTCCCCCTTCCCAGCTTCTCCCAAGACAATATCTGTGGTGGGGGGAGGGGCGGGGGGAGGCCCAGGGACTCACTAACTTTCCAGTCCCCCTGGGGGGCCAGCTGTCAAGGAAGGAGGAGGGGATGGAACATCTGGAAACCAAGGAGGCAATAACCCAGATGTGTAGGCAGCAGGAGTGAGGAGAGGAGCCCGGGGTATTGGAGAAAGAAGCCTGAAGGGTCTGGCAAGAGGAATGGAAGACAAAGCATAGGCCTGAGACTTCCTTTCAGGCTCTGTTCCGAGGGGCTGAAGGGCAGAAAGAGGAAGGGGCAAGGAGCCCCCTCACCTACCACCCCTCAGTGCTACAGGCTCCCCCACCCCCATCCCTGGCAAACTGTGTGAACAAGAAGTGGCCCTTGCTGAACTCTTCTCTCCCAGCTTGGACTTCGAGACCAAACTCCTGGAATTCCTCCAAAAAGAGAAAGAGCAGGAAAGGGGAGGGCAGAGACAGACAGGGAGATTCCTTCCTCTTCTCCCTCCCCACCCCCTTCTCTGGCCTCAGCTTTTCAGTGACACTTTTCTGATGGAATTTAGGAACAGTTTAGCTTGGAGAGGCAGGGTGGTGTAATGGATGAAAAGCTGGCTTCTAAGTAAAAGAAAACAAAAAAAAAAACCCGGCCTGGGTTCAAATCCAGCTTCTGCTCTACTGGCTGGGTGACCTCTCAGTACCCCCAAGGAAATTGAGGCTCTATGTGTAGCAAAGCAGATGCCAACCTGCTTAGGTGGAAGGGGTTTCCTCATTCTGGAGTCCCCTACAAGCTGCCCCAGTGAGATACAGCAGAAGGTGGGAAGGGCTGTCTAGGAGAAAAGCATTTCCATTTTGACACATGCATATCTCCTCTCCCCGGGTAGAAAAGAGTCCTCGGAAGAATGGGAAGGGGGCTGGAGGTTTGGGAGTGAGGCGAGTCTGAGTGATGGAAATATCAGAGGAGGGGAAGCCAGAGAGTAAGAATATGGGGTGCTTGGGAAAGCCTTCCATGCCAAGGAGATCTCTGCTGGTCATAAGGGGGAATCAAGAATACCACCTATTCCCAACTCCTGGGAAGAATGAAGAATGGGGCTGGGGCAGGGGGATCCTTGAATCCAGGAAAGGGAGACAGGGCAAAGCTCACCTCATTCCCTGTCCAAGATACAAATCTCTAGAATCAGCCCAACAGAAAGGTCCAAGAGAAGAAGTGGGAGAAGGAAGAGAGGGCAAGGGAAGAGGGAGAAGGAGGAAAAGGGATAGAAAGAAAAGGAAAAGGAGGAAGAGAAATCTCACACTGGAAATACCCTGGAGAGCCCCAAGACCAAAGACCCTGGATGTCTGTTGGGATCACTGAGGCAGGCTGTCTGCCTCTGCCACCTCACCCCTAAAACTCAATGCCCCTTCTGTAGCCTGCTTTCCCTTTGTGCCCTGGGGGTTGGCACTAGCTTGGGGGAGGATTGTATTAGAGTGGAACAGATGGTCAGGCAGGCAGGCAGACACATACACAGTCCAAGATAGAAGCTCACTGTGTGTCCTAGCAAGGCAAGGCAACTTCCTGGCCTTTACCTTTCTCTGCCCTTACCTTTGTGTGGGAGGCAGTGGAGGAAGCTGGTTTAGTTCAGGAGTGGGAAGAAAATAACAGGGACAAAAGGGGGTGGAGAAAACGCTGGGGATCGTGCATGAGTGTGTGTATATGTGTATGGAGGGCGGGGAGTTGGTTTCCTTGAATCACCCTCGGAGGAGTACACCACAACTATGGATCGCCCCCTGTTTAGGAGAGGCTTCCAAACCAGGGAGACCAGGGTTCCTGTCTCACATCTGACCTATGCACCTCTTCAGGGCCTCACGCAGCTTTCTAAGATGGTAAATTGCTTGAGAATGTCCACACTGGCATCGGGAGATCGAGTTCCCTACAGCAATGAAATCACAGGTTCGGGCTCTATCCCTATCCTATGTGTGAAGAGTACTGTGGAAGGGACAAAGATGATTCCTTTTGGGTGGGGGATCCCTAGGGAGAAGCCTGTGACCTCCGATTCTTCTATCCCTCATAAAGGGACCCCAATGCCCAGCATCAGACCAACACACCAGTCTGACGTTAATTCGGATTCCTTCCACAGCTATCGATCCATCCCGAGTTTCCAAATCAAGTGATCCAGGGGCCAGGTACGGGCTAAGAGACTCCTTCAGCCCTGCCTCTTACTCACACCTCTCCCTATAATCCAAGTACTCCTTTCTGGCGACACTTATCTAGCCCCTTTACACCCCGGATATGGTGTAGACCCTATTACGTGGTGAGGGCTGGGAGCCCTGAGACCTCACTACCTGTACCAGAGGAGCCCAGGAGCAAGTTTGCACGGACTGTTAGGGGAGCTTTCAAGAGTTCTTTGGGGGTCCCACCTAGAAAGGGGCAAGGGGTTTTTCCCCTAGAGCCGCTGGGACCTAGGTTGGCAGTCGGTGGTGGGGGCGGGCGGGTGAAGAATCTTTCTTTTTCTGTTGGGTGTCTGGGGAGAGTCCAGGCGGAAGAGAAAGTAAGGTAGGGAAGGAAGAGGTAAAGGACACCGAAAAAAGAAAAGGGGGGTCCCCCTATTGTGCTGACGTCACAACCCCTCGACGTCACGGCGCATTGTTGTTGGGGGGCTCCAACGAGGTCACGGGAGGAGGGAGGGGGTGACCTCTGGCCCGAGCGGGTTCGGGAGTGGGCTCAGTAATAAGACAAAGGGTAACAGAGCTCCCTTCCCAGCCCGGGCCGCCCCACCCTCAGCCCCACCTGCCCCGTCACCGTAGCGGCCGCCGATCGCTAGCTCTTCCTTTGTTACTCGGGTCCCTCCTAACCAGGGGCTCAGAACGCTCCCTCTCTCCCGACCCCTTTGTTCGAATCCGGGCCCCGGGGGTGCGGGAAAAAAAGGGAGAGGGGAAGCCTCCCCATTCCTCTCGCCCGGCCCAGTAGGGTTACACCCCCCCCACCCCAGCCCGCCCAGTCCGAAGAAGCTTGCTTCCTCCCATGGGACCCCGGCGTCCCATCTGCAGCGCGCTCCCTCGCCCCTCCTGGGGATGCGGGTCAGAGACCTGCCCCCCCGCCCCCGCCCCCTTCCCTCTCCCGCGGGTCCTCCCCCCACGAGGGTCCTCCCCCCACGAGGGTCCTCCAGGTCTCACTCGGGCGTCGCCCCTACCTGGGGACCCCCGGCGCCCCCGTGATCTCGGGCTCCGGGGCCCCTGCGACACCCGGGGGTCCCCACGCACCTGAGAAACTCCTGCAGGCAGGTGTCGCAAAAGCGGTGGCCGCAGGTCGAGACCTGCACCGGCTCCCGCATGGCCTTCCCGCACAGCGGGCACAGTAGCCGCCGCTTGGGCTTCTCCAGGAACTTGTAGTCGAAGCCGGGCATGGTGGGCGGCCGGGCGGCCGGGGTGAGGGCCGGCCCCGGCGCCCGCGGCCCCCGCAGCCAGCCAGCTCCCCAGCGAAGCACGGCGCGGCCGGCCCACTAGTGACTGCAGCCCAGGCGGCTGCTGCTCCAGGTCCATGATCCGGCCCCTCCCGTGGCGGGCGGAGCGGGGGCGGGGACGGGGGCGGAGCCCAAGCCGGCCGCTCGGTCCTAGCGCCGGCCATGCCCGCTGCCCCCCCCCCCCGCCGCCGCCCGGCGCCCCTAGCCCGTCCAGCGGGGGCGGGGGGGGGGGAAAGAGCTGCCCTCCAGCTCCCCCTCTCTCTCCTCCACCCTGTCCGCCCAGGCTTATCCTGGTACCCGGACCTTCACCTCCCTTGTGCCCAGCTTGCTCATTCATTCATCTCTTTCTCTCTAGTACGGTGTCTCTGTCTATGTCAGCCTCTCTCTGGTCACTTCAACCCGGACAGTGCCTTGGGTCTGCCCTTTGGAAACCCCATCCCCACCTTCCCATCCCCTCCAGGCTGACTCCCTCCCTCTGGATCTTCCCCCACCCTCCGCCTTAAATCCAAAGCAGGTTAGGTAGGGGCCGGGCAGGAGGCAGAGGATTGACGGAGAATGAATCACACTCCCTTCACCTTCGGTTTGCTTCGCTCGCTCACTCAGCTACCTCCGGAAGTGGGGGAGGGCCGGTCTTTCCCCCCCATCACCTCCTTACCCCAGCGGGGGAAGGGCAACTACTCCCCACCCTGGGGAGTGGTTGAGGAGAGGGAGGGCTGCTTGGACCCTAAAGATTCTGGGACCAGGGCCAAGTGGGAAAATAAAAACACCCACAGACCCAGGTGCGAATCCCCCAGCTGGGCCAAGGAGACTGCCCAAGCCACAGGACCTTGGGGCTGAACCCGAACTTGCATTTTTCCGAGAGGCTAGGGGCTCAGGAGGGAGGGGGTTGCTGGCTCCAGGGACAGAGAAAAGGGGCGCGGGGGGGGGGGGTTGGTTAGAGTACTGTCAGCATTGGTGGGCCCTACGCAAATCAGCCGGCTATTTTGGAAGCCCTAGTCTCCCGGGTGGGTATGAAATGAGCGAGAGGCCAGGGTTTGCCCCAGCTCCCCGCTGACCCACGTGGCAGGCCCCAGGGGTCCAAGTGTGCCAAGCAGCGCAGCAACCCGAGGCCACAGGGAAGTGCCCAGCCGGGGGGGGGGGGGGGGGGGGCGGGAAGCAGGGCCCAGGCCAGCGAAAGGAGGGCACCCAGAGGGGGAGAGAAGAGACTGGGCCTGGGCCTGGTGCCAGAGGAAACCTCAGCCCTGGGGCACCTGGCTGCACCCACATTCCTCCCCTGGCTGCCCAGCAACCAAGGTCCCGGGCTTATCCGTGCCCTTGGGTGCCTGTCCGCTACACCCCCACCCTCACTACACACACTCCTTTGTAATTAACTCAGAGGCAAACAACCTGGTCTTTGGCTTCCTTTTATTAGCCTCACTCGCCATCCCTGTGGGGCTCCCCTCCACCCCCAACACACACCCCCCCCTCCCTGAAGGGAACCATGAGATGACATTTTAGGGCACCCCTCTGGCATCCAGGGCTTCAACAGGAAGCCTCTCTATCTGAGGAAATGCCCCTTCCGACAAGCCCTGGGAGAGAGCTGTCCAGGAAGGCCTTTCCAGGGCTCGAGTCCAGGCCCGGAAAGGGAGCAGAGAGAAGGAGGTCGATTGCTAGAAGCTTGAATCGAGGTCCAATCAGGTGGGTAAATGGCCGCTTCCTCCCTCCCCACTTTTTTAACCTCTGCCCTTACCCAGGTGCCCCACACACTGCCTCTTCCCCCCAAGATCTGTGGCTGTGCAAACTCTGATACCTGCTGGCCCTGCCAGTGTGGGGGTGGCAGCTTCCCTTCCAGACATTCCCCCTCCTCTAGGCCATAGGGACAAGGCCAAACTTGTCTGTACTGTCTTGGACCCATGAAGCCCCAGTATGGAGTCTCCACATTGGCATGTTGGAGAAATGAACTCACTCACCTATCCTGGATTTGGGGAAGTGGTCTTGGGGAAAGAAAATCTCACACACACACCCATGACAAGGTGTGCTGCAGACCTGGCATGGGGGGCAAGAGGGGCAGACCACACCTGGCATGGAAGTGGGCACTTAACATTTGCTGAAGAAGGAGCTGGGGGAATGTGAATGGCATTTCCAATCCTGTGGAAGGCCTGTGCCCTAGGCATTCCAGGGGAGCTGGAACACAGGGTGCCAGGCTCCCCTACACTTAGAGATGTCTTTGATGTATCACTCAAGTCATACCAGCATCTTAGAGGCAATGTCCTAAATGACCAGGGGGCACGGCCCACACTGAAGTCAGAAAGCCAGGTAGTACCCACCCAATACATCTGGGGGTGGCAGAGGGGAGGTGGGTGAGGTATCTGTTCTCTGTTGGGGCAGAAATCCAGCTTGAGATGCTCAGGGTGGTATGGATTCCTCTGTGGCAGCTGGAAGACAGAGTGAAGACACCAATTCAGCCCCTGGGGTGGGCAGGCTTCAAGCAGTCCAAAAATAGTTTTCATGGGGGAAAGAGAGAGGAGTATGGGGGACAGGAGGGCGGCGTGGGAGTTAAGAGGAGGGCATGTAAGCTCAGGAGTCTCCCATGAGGGCTCGCCATCCCCCACCACAGCTTCCTGTGACCTGTCTTCATCTCTCTCTGGTTGGGACAGGTGCTTTGGGGGGGGTTTTCAACAAGATGGATGGGGGGAGGGGACTGACTGCCAGTCCCCTTGCCAGAGGGTCCATTCTCTAGCCCAGAAAGTGGCAGAGACCACTTGGTAGTGCCCACAGGATGCCCCATGCCCCCGTGACTTCAGGCGTCAATGAGACCCTCCGAAGAGGGTCTCTGGGAATTCTGAACCTAAGCATGATAAGATACAAATGCCTGCATTCAGAAGCTGAGAGCATTTCCAGTGCCCACTCTGGCTCTAGGCATAAGGATACAGGCAAGGAAGGCAGGGAGCATCCCAGGCCAAAGGGCTGATGGGCCCCACCAGGGTATCTATAGGGGACGGACTCACGACGGATGGCTAGCAGGGTGTTCCCATGGCAACAGGACACAGAGGTCACCGTGTAGGGCTGAGTTTCATCCAGCTGCACAGGCCGAGGGAACCCGGCATCCTCATCCTTGCGCCCCAGTCGGCCACGGGCACCTTTGCCCCAGGTGTACACATCTCCTTCTGCCAGTGAGAACCCAAGGGGAGTGGCCAGAAGAGGATAGCTCCCTCCCCACTGGGGCACCCATGGGGCCCAACCTTCATCTCCATGGTACTCCTTCCTCTCCACATTCACACCCAGGCCAATGCGGACTCCAGGGTGTTCTCCAGATCTAGTCAAGCTGAGGTCCTCACATCGTTATATTCCTGGGTACTAACTGGTGCCCCTGACTTGGTCTAACATGCCAGGGTTTGTGAGATCACAAACCAGCTGGAAAGCTGGCTATGAGGCCACCTGAGTCCAGCTCCCTCATTTTGCAGATGAGAAAACTAAGGCCTGGGGGAGGGGAAGTAGTGCCCTGAGGCCACCCAGGGAGTGCATGGCAGAGGCGGGATCCAAAGCCCATGATCTCTCCATTGTCATAGGCTGACTCTCTGGGTACCCACAGGCATCACTGATGTCCACTAAGTTTCTAGACACCTGGCACTGCCCAGAAAACCACCTGCTCCTTACCTGCACCAATGGCCACGGTAAAGGCATCTCCACAAGCCACCATCACCACCTTGATCCCCTGGAGCCCTGCCACTAGGCAGGGGGCTCGGCTGCCCCGGCGGGCACTGGTGCCCAGCTGCCCATGCTGGTTGCTGCCAAACGTATAGCATTCACCAGAAGCTGGGGGAGAAATTGGGTGTGAGCCAAGGGGTCTCCAAGGAAAGAGCAAACCCTGCCTCCCTCCTCTTAACTCCAAATTCAGGTGGAGAGAATCTGCCCCTCACCTGTTACAGCAGCTGAGTGGGCAGTGCCCACATCGATGCTCACTAAAGGCTCGGAGTCGAGGGGCACAGAACCCAGAGGCATAAAGCTCAGGGCTTCTTCCACCTGGTCGTGGGGGCCAGGCTCCTCCCCAGGGGACACTCGGTCCAAGCCCAGCTTGTTAAACCTGCAGGCAAGCCAGGGGGCAACACTACATGGGAGAAGGCCACCAGGACCAATGGAGGTCATCGAGGACGGGAGATGGTCCTCTCCTAACCTGTCACATCAGGAACAGGCCATAGGAGGGCACAAGCAGGACGTGGAGAAAGGCAGTGAGACATGGGGACCTCCAGACAGGCCAGAAGGGCATCACTAAGGGGAGAGGGCAGGCTGGGTGAGCTCGCTACAAGACCATGGCAAGAACAAAATCCCCCTCATGCCTGGGGCTGTCTGGGTCCTGGGATGCTGCTGTGGCAGGAGAGGCGGGCACCTGACAAATGGTGACGGAATCGAGGGGCTCAAGGGCCTTGGGTGGCCAGTGTTAGCCCTGTCCTCTCACCTGTTACTGCCACAGGCCAGGGCCCGGCCAGGCACCGTGAGGATCATTGAGGAGTCGATGCCACACACTACCCACTGGGCTTCCTGTTCAGGGGGCACAGGCACCTGCTGTGGGGAGCTGTGAGATTCCCTGGTGCCCAACCCCAGTCGGCCTGCCAGGCAAGCAGAGAAAAGGATGAGTCCTGGGGATGAAGGGAAAAGGAGCAGGCTGGCGCAGGGAGGCAGGGCCCTTGGGAGAGGCAAGCTGGGGGCAAGGGGAAGTGAGATGAATTAGAGCTGACAGGAAGCACAGCTGGAGTCACAGACCACTGACAGGGCTGAAGAGTACTGAGAAATGGATCCAACCCTTCTATTTCACAGATGGTGAAACTGAGGCCTGCAATGAAAGGTTCTGCAGACCTTGACAGAGCTGGGGGCTCCTGTATCCTCACCCCGTTTTCAAATATCCTTCTCACTAGACCAAGATTGGGGCCTCCAACCGTCCATGGTACATGGGATGGAAGCGCTAGAGGTCCTGGGGTGTCGGCACCAGAAGGCCGGTGTTAGGAGCCTGTTAGTACAGGGGGCCGGCCCTCACCACCATCCCCACGGCCCCAGGCAAACAGCTCCCGCTCTGTGGATAGGGCCAAGACGTGGGATGCCCCACAGGCCACCTGCACCATCTCATAGCCCAGCAGGGCCTCCACAATCGTAGGCTGGAAGGGGAAAAGAGGGGGAAATGGGACCTTGAGGATTTCAGGGCTAATGCTGGGCAGCCTGTTTCTCCTTGCCCCTCTCCCCCCCTGGAGCCCAGCCCTAGCCTGGAGACTGGGAAAGGCCCAGCCCCTCCGAATGCTCACCCCAGGCTAGAAAACCCTCTTAGGGTAGTCTGTATCTTTAAATCCCCTCTCCTTCCCACCCTGCCAGCATCAGACCAGGTGCAGGCAGGGGCAGGTGTGGCCTCCATGGGGGAGCAGAGGGTTTCTGGGGATTCCCCTCCAACCCCCCAGGAGGCAGGCTCTTTGATGTTTCTCCCCGCACATCCACACACACCTGGCTGAGGTCAGCGAAGCTGCCGTGGCCCAGGCAGCCGTTACTGCCGCTGCCAAAGGTCATGATGATGCCTCGGTCTGCGGGGGCACGGAAGAGGAAAGGGCTGGATCCATGGGGTCCAGACAGGGCTGCTCCAACGGGACGTGATAGGGGCTGGAGGGTGTGGGGCTCATCTACTGCCCTGGGGCCCACCACGACTGGGGTCCTTCAGCAAGTTTCCACCTCAGTCAGGGGCCCAGCTGCCCACATGCACCCTGGAGCCCCCCAGGCCCAAATCTCATGCTGCCCTCTGCCCATACCGGTGAGACAGGCAGTAAAGAGGTCCCCACAAGCCACATGCTTGACAGTCACCCCTGACTGGCCCTCCAGAAAGCGGGAGATCAACTGAGGCTGGTGTTGTTCCAAGGCTCCCGGCAGCAGGATGCCCCCACCAACGCCCATGGGCGGCGCCTGCATTGGACGGAGGGGTGCTGAGCTGGGGGGCCGAGGCACCCGCCTCTCTTCCTGCCCCCGCCTGGCCCCGACACCCCCAGAGCCGGCTCCCCCGCTCACCTCCCACACGATGAGGCGCCCGGACCGAGTGACGCCAGCCTTCTGGGTGCGCCCAGCCGAGACCTGAACCACCTCAGTGTTGAGCATGGGCAGCCTGGTGGGGACGCTGAGCCCGCCACCCCAGGTGTAGACGGAGGACAGGGGAGGTGGAATGGCTGGCCGGGGCAGCCCCTGGAGCACCCCTGCAGGGAGGGGGGGAGGGTTTCAACATGCCATCCCCTAGACTGACCAGAGGAGGTATCCTGAGAACAGCTGGACCCTGGGACTCCCCCAAGCTGTCTTAGTAGCTAGTGAGGGGGGCAGGAGTAAGAAGTGGTATCTCCTTCTGTCTAGTGACTGTGGCTGTTTTAACTGACATCTCTACAATCCCTACCTCATACAGGAAATCACTGCTCTGCTCAAAAAGCCGCTGTGGCTCCCTACTGCCTAGTAAATAAAGTATGTGTTCTTGGTCCTGGCAGTCCAGGCTCTCCACAACCTGCAGGTGGGGAGCACTCTCCCACCTTCCCAGCCTTCTTTCCCTCTACTCTGCCTCATGTTTCAGCCAGACTGGCCCACTGTCCACTGCCTGCATCCAGTTCTGGTCTTGGGTCTCTCCTGTTAATGCCCTTTCCTTCACACTGTTTACAAAGCCTAACCTGCCCTGCGAGGGCGTGAACCTCAGGTGCTCCCCCCACCTCAGATGCCGGCTCCCCGGAGTCCTTCCCCTGACATGTGCGCCTCAGCTCCAGGCCTGGGCCTCCCCCTCCTCACTGCCTCCTCTCTCCTTGGCTTTCTTCCAGCCTCTCCAGGGGAGGCCTTTCCCCAGCTCTCCCCACCTCCCAGCAGCCAACACCCTCCTATCCATGCACTCTGCATCCACCTGGGAGCTGCTGGAGGGCAGACACGTGCTGCCTCTCTCGGCATCCCAGGAATCGAGGCTTGTTGACTGACATCTCTGTCTCTCCCCTGGGGCTGGCAGAGTCGGTCTTCCTCGGCCCCTTGCCACTAGGCAGGAAGCTCTCTGAGGTCAGGGCTGATGGCCTACCTCCCCCTGGGGCCCCAGCAGCAGTTGGTAAGTGCGTCATTGAACTAAACTGAGGCCAGGATGGAGATGGGGAGGGGGTGGCCAGCAGGACCCCAAAACGGACTCACCACGGGATCGGGGGCCACCTGTCCTACCGCCTGCTCGGCCACACGGCATCGCGGGTACACTGCCCAGGGGCTTCTCTACCCTGCAGGATAGACAGACGGACATTGGCTCAGCGGTCACCTGGCCCCTAGTGCCTCTAGCCCACCTACCCCCGAGGGGTGATACACGCACCCAGAGGCAGGGTGGGAGCACGGCCAAGCATGACAGCTGAGCCGGGACCAACACTGCCCCCACCGCGTCGCTGCGTGACCTCTAGCCAGTCACTACCTTCTCTGAGCTAAACTGTAAAATGAGGGGGTTCGACATAGAGGTAGGCTGGTGAAGCAGGATCAGAGGGCCTGGGTTCAAATCCTCTCTGCCATTTATCAGCTGTGTGACCTGGAAGGCCTCAGTTTCCTCATTTGTAAAATGAAGGGCTTGAACTGGATGCCTCCTGCAATCCCTCCCCCATGACGCGCCTCTCCCCAGCTGTGTCTCACTCGCTCTGGGCCCACTGCTGTCCTGGATCCCTGGCCCTCTCTAAGGTGTCCTTCCCTTCCCGTCCTCTCCCTCGTGCCTGCCCCACTGGCCTCTTCATCCTGACGCTGCCCACATCAGTGTAGAGATTTAGCAGCGCCCGGACACAGAGGGGCTGGGCCATGATGTGGCTCAGCGGGGGCCGCTGGGAAGGCTCCAGGCTCAGCAGGCTCAGCACCAACTGGCGGAGTTCGATGCTGTATCGATCCGAGATGGGCGCGAAGGTGCCACTCATGATCTTCAGCACCAGGGCTGGGAGATTCTGTGCAAGCAAAGCCAAGGCCGCTCAGAAACCTCGTGCGCAGCACGCCAGCCTGGGCCGGGCCAGAGAGAAAGGAGCCAGTCCCTGCCCAGACACGGGCCTGCCCCTGGGAAGTTACAGGCTGATGAGGGAGAGAAGACACAGACTCGGAGCCCAGCGAAGAACAGGAGACGGGAAGGAAAGCGGCAGCCATGTCTCCAAGAAGCCAGGGCAAGAACCAGGTGGGTTAATCAAGGGAGGCTGCCTGGAAGAGGTGAGGGCCTTGAACACGACTGGAAAGGAGAGGCACGAGGCTCGGCAGAGAGGCGTTAAAGTTGGGGTCAGAGAGGAGGAACTCTGGACAACAGAGAAGCTGAGTCGGGGGTTGCCAAGGGAATGAGGGAGTGAGCTGGAAAGCCTCCTCTCTTGCCGGCCCCCAGTCTTACCGCAGCCTCAAAGGCCCTCTTGAGGCTGGCCAGCTCGTAAAGGACACAACCCAGGGCCCAGATGTCACTTTTCTGGTTATAGGGCTTGCCCTCACACAGCTCCGGGGAGATATAACAGGGGGTACCCACCACCTGCAGAGAAGATGGTGAGGATTAACAAGGACTCAGCTGAAAGAGGTTGGGGTGTAGACTGCCGGCCAGCCTGACCCCGGCTCAGGCCCTCGTCCTGCAACCTGGGCAAAGTCACTTCCCTGTCTCGGCCTCGGTAAGACGCAGGACTGAACTAGACCTCGAAGGTCCCTTCTGGCTTTCGAGCCGTAACCCTGTGCTCCCATGCTCCTCCTGCCATCGTGGACAGGGAGTCTCTCACAAGGAAGAGAGAGATCCAGCCTCCCGTTTCTCCACCTTCCTCCGTCCGGCTGCGGTGTGCACCTAGAGAGGCCAGGGAGGGCCGGAGGGCCGGAGGACCTCCACCAGCCCCCTCGAGTCGCACACGGGGGGAGGGGAGGCCCTGAACCTGTCCCGGAGCCCGCCCGCTGTCCCACGCCCACTTGCAGTATAGGCCTTGCTCTTGCTGCTCAGAATCTTGGAGATGCCAAAGTCGCCGATCTTGACGATCATCCGCTGCTTGTCCAGGAGGATGTTCTGGGTCTTGAGGTCCCGGTGGAGGATGAGGTGGGTGTGCACGTGGTGCAGGGCCAGCAGGATCTGGACGAAGAAGTGCAGGATGGTCTCCTCGTCCAGGAGGGAGTTGCAGCGTTTCTGGATGTAGTCGGCCAACGTGCCCCCTGTGGGCAGAGAAGGGCATGAGGTGTCCTGTGCGCCCCGGGTCCCGCAGGCCCCAGATGGCACGGAGACTCACCCTCTCCCCGGGCCAGGGAACAGTCAGAATGTCACTGCTAAAGGGACCCTCCCCTGACAAAAGAGGAAACCGAGGCCTCGCGGGGAAAGGACTTTGCCAGCATTGCCACGGCAGGCACGGAAGCAAAACTCAGGCTCGGTCTGAGGCTCTTCCCAAGCCCCGGGCAGAGCCGGGAAGGAAGATGGCAGCAAAGAGGGGGCACTAGGGAGCACACGACGGCTCAGGCATTCCTAGTTCTCATCCCACCCGGGCCAGGGACAAGCTGTGCGGGAAGCAGGCCAGGGAGGTGGATGCTGAGGACACTCCTCCCAGACAGGCAGGGCTGGGTGGGGTGCCCCAACCTGGGGCGTACTCCATGGCGATCATGAGGGCCTTGTCCTCCAGGAAGTTCTCATAGTACTCGATCACGTTGGGGTGGTTCAGCAGCTTGAGCACCTGGCACTCGTTCTGGGCGGCCAGCCGCTCGTCCTTGGTCATCTGCTCCACCGGGATCTGCTTGATGATCACCAGCTTCTGGTCGGCCTTCCGAAGGCACAGGTGCACGATCCTGAGGGTCACAGGGCTTGGCATGCAGCAGGTGCTTAATCAACGCTGACTGACAGGAAGACTTGGATAGGGAGGGGCGGGCTGCCAGGAGAGCAGCAGGCATGGGGACAGGGGGACAGTCTGGAGCAGGGGTGGGGAAGCTGCAGCCTCGAGGCCACCTGTGGCCTTCTAAGTCCTCGGGTGCGGCCTTTTGACTGAGTCCAAGTTTTACAAAGCAAATCCTTTTATTATGGGGATTAATTATTATATTATTATTGTATTATACGTTATATCATGATACTATCACGTCATTGATATAACGATATTACATATAATACTATTAATTATTAATGCAGCCTCGAGGCCGCAGGTTCCCCGCCCCTGTTCTACAGGATCATGGGACCACCAAGAATTGAGAGTAGGATCATCGCTGGAACCACCAACCCCATTTTACAGATATGGAAACTGAGGCCCCCCCCCAAAAAGTTAAGTGACATAAGAACTGAGAGCAGGGTCATCTAGAACCACCCACTCCATTTTACAGATGTAGAAACTGAGGGTCCTGGCGAGTGAGTGACTTGTAGGGGTCACATAGCTATAGTGCCACAGGTGGGATTGGAATCCAGGCCCTTTGAGTCCAAACCAGGCGCTTTAGCACAGACATGGAGAGCAGAGGGGCAGCGGTCGGTTGGAGCTGGGAAAGGAGGGGCCACCGGGGGATGTGGGGCAGCTAAATGGACAGGCCACCCTGGAAGGGAGTTGGAGCCATGAGAAAGGCGTGGTCAGAATAAGGGCGTGGCCAAAACGGGGCAGGGCGGGACTTCAGGGCCCGCCTAGTTGTGGGCGGGAACCAGGGGCCGGAAGTGGGGGGCGGGACTTCCGAGAGCTGGACTGGAGCCCATGGGGGCCAGGCTGGCGCTCCCAGGCCCGGTGGATCCGAGCTGGGCGTGTTTGTCCTTTCCTCCTCGATTGTGCCCTACCTCCCTCGCTGTCTTCCCCTCACCCACCCGCAGCCCGTGCCGTGCCTCACCCGAAGGCGCCTCTCCCCACCACCCGGATCCGCTCGTACTTCTCCATGGCGTCCTTTCGGGCCCGCGCTTCCGGGACCCGTTACGGCGGCCGCGGGGGCCAAAAAAAACCGCGCCAACGGACGCATGCGCAGACTCCTCTGCCTGTCTGTGTGTTCCCCTCCTGGCTGGGGAGGGGCGGTGCTCGGCCCTGTTTGTTGGTCGCTCCCCACCCCCACCCACTATCTCCACTAGAGACAGTTGTAGATGGTATTTCTAAAGCGCCTTAAAGATTATAAAGTGCTTTACATACATTAGCTTGAGCCTCCCCTCTTCAGCCCAAGCGAAGCCCATTGTACAGATGGAGAAACTGAGACCCAGAGAGGTTGAGTGACTTGCTGCAGGACACACAGCAAGTGTCAGAGCAGAGATTCAAACGCAAAGCAACCCCTCTGCGTTTTCCCATCACACTGCATTGTCTCAGGACCTCCCCAGTGTCCCTTACTGACCCCTACAAGAATCTCTGGCTCACCCAGATCCATAGTCTCCCCCCACTGCTTCCCCTTCCCCATTTTCTCCCACTCCCTTCAGTTCTCCCCCCACCCTCGAAGGCTCCTTGCACTGCTCTGCTGTCCATCTCTGCTACAGCTCCATCCATACCTGGCATCTCATACCCCATCACCTCCAGTGGTCCCCTATGAAGTCCAGGATCAAACATGAAATCCTCTTGGGCTGTCTTGACCCCTTCCCATGCTTCCAGTCTTCTCCCTTACTCTTCCAGGAGTGGCAGCGGCTTCACTGCCTTCCTTAGCACAGGGCACTCCATCCCCCATTTGGAGCATTCACTGGCACTGACTGTCCCCCATGTCTGGGGGTCTCTCCCTCCTCATCTCCACCTCCTTGGCTTTCCTCGATCCTTTCAAGTGTCAGCTAAAGTCCAATCTCCAGTAAAAAGTCTTTCCTAGTCCACTTTTAAGGCTCTAGCCTTCCCTCTGAGTCAATCTCCTGTTCATACAGTATGTAGCTTTAGATACTGTTGTTTGCTTACTCTCTCCTCCGTTAGAATATACGCTTCTTGAGGTCAACGACTTATTTTTTTACCTTTGTTTTATCCTCAATCCTTAGCACAGTGCCTGGCACACAGGAGACGATTAATAAATGCTTATCAAATATCTATCATTTCATTTCCCCCATCTTCAATTCCCACCCAGAATGCCTCATTTCCAACTTCCTCAATCCCTCCATCTCCCCTGCCCAGCTCAGAGAACCCCTCAGCTTTCTTCTGCTTCCACGGCCTTCTCTACCTTCTCTTCATCCTGGTATAATGAAGTCTGGATTTCAGTTCTGCCCTGAACACTTCATAGCTGAGTTACCATGTATAATCTATCTGATCATCAACTTCTTTCTCTGTTACATGTGAATAATAAAGACCGGTAGCATTTAGTTTAATATGCGTATGTGTATATACATAAATATATATATATATATGTACATATACATATGTATATACATCTATACATGTGGGTGTATGTATGTATATGTGTATATATACATATATACACATCTATATATGTGGATGTATGTGTGTATATATGTATATGTATATACACACATACATTTTATTAAGTTGTTTTCATTCAAGTCTGACTCTTCATGACTCCATTTGGGGTTTTCTTGGCAAAGATATTAGAGTGGTTTGCCATTTCCTTCTTCAGCTATTTTTACAGATGAGGAAACTGAGGCAAACAGGGTAAAGTGACCTGCCCAGAGTCACTCAGCTAGTGTCTTGAGGCCAGATTTAAACTCAGGAAGCTGAGTCTTCCTGACTCCAGGCCTGGTGCTCTATCCACTGCCCCACCTAGTTTCCCTTTATATATACACACACGTCAATTATTCTTCTCTCCCAGGCACAGTTGTTGTAGAAACAGAACTGCAGTTTCCTGATTATTCCCTCTAGGGTCTTAAAGGAAGCTGGAGAAGCAGGGAGGTGGAGATGAGGAGGAGGAAGAGCATTCCAGGCATAAAGGACAGCCAGAAAAAATGCCCATTGGGTCACTGTAGAGAAGAGTAGATAGAGGGAGTAAGGTGTAAGGAGACTGGATTGGGGAGGGGATAGGGTAGGTTACGAAGGGCTTTGAATGCCAAACATAGCATTTTGTATTTGATCCTGGAGGCAATTGGGAGACACCAAAGTAGGGGTCAGGGACATGGTCAGAGCTGTGCTTTAGACAAACCACTTTAGTGGCTGAATGAGGAATGGTTGGAATGAGGAGAGACTTGAGGCCTGCACACCCACCAATGGGATATTGCCATAATCCAGGTGTCTGCACTGCAGTGGTAGCAGTTTCAGAGGAGAAGCTGAGGAGTAGTTGGTGCAAAGGTGAAATCAATAGGTCTTGGCACCATATTGGATAGGGGACGAGGGTGAGAGATGAGGAAGAGTCCAGGATGACTCCTAGGTTGGGAGCCTGAGGGACTTGGGAGGATGGTGTTGCCCTCTACTGGTAACGGGGAAGGGCTAGGAGGGGAGGGTTTAAGGGAAAAGATTAATGACTTTTGTTTTGGATGCATTGAGCGTAAAATGTCTACTGGACATCCAACTGGAGATGTATAGAGAACGGAGGTCAGCAGGAAACTTGGGACAGGATAGGTAGATTTGAGAATGATTAGCATAGAGATGCTAATTGAATCAACGGGAGCTGAGGAGATCACCAAGTGAAGTAGTATGAAGGGAGAAGAGAAGACTGAGTACTGTGGGTTACCTCCAGTTAGAGAGTCTGACCTGGATGAGGATCCAGTGAAGGAGACTGAGAACCCAGAGAGAAGAGGGTAGCAAGGAGGAGGGGGTGATGAGCGGGGTCAAAGGCTGCAGAGAGGTCAAGGAGAAGGAGGATTGAGACAAGGCGGATGTGGCAGCTAGGAGATCACTGGGATCTTTAGTAAAATGGCAACTCTGGAGAGAGCAGTTTCAGTGGAATGAAAAGGTCAAAAGCTGGATGATGAGTGGCTATGAAGAGGGCGAGAGGAGAGAAAGTGGAGACACCTACTGTAGATGGCCTTTTGTTGTTATGGAGGTAGAAGGGTCAAGTGAGGGTTTTCTGAGGATGGGGGAGATACGGCCATGTTCCTAGACAGTAGAGAAAGAACCAGGAGACAGGGAGAGAATGAAAATGTGTTAGAGTGGGGATGACCAAGGCAGTGGTCTGCTGGAGGAGACTGGACGGAATGGGATCCTGACTGTGCAGGTTGAGGGGTTAGTGGGACAACCTAGGAGTCATCCCAGGCTCCTCGCTCTGGCTTACCCTTCATGTCCAAGCCGTTGCCAAGACCTGCACAGTTCACTTTTGTAACATCTCTCAAATTCGCCCCTACCCCCACCTTGGTACTGGCCCTTATCGCCACACACCTGGACTACTGTAATATCCTGCTAATGGGTCTGCCTGCCCCCAAGTCTCTCCCCACTTCAGTCAATCTTCCACTCAGCCACCAAAATGATTTTCCTAAAGCTCAGGTCAGAACATGTCACCACCCCCCCACTCAAGAAACTCCAGTGGCTCCCTATTACCTCTGGGAGCAAATACAAAATGCTCTGTTTGGCATTCAAAGCCCTTCTCACCCTGGCCCCCTACTTCCTTTCCAGTTTTCTTACACTTCAGTGTAAGACTACACAGTGACATTTTGATGAACAAGACCCTTCATCTCTCAGCTCTGGGCATTTTCTCTGGCTGTCCCCCATGCCTGGAATGTTCTCCCTCCTTGGTTCCATCTACTGATCTCCCTGGCTTCCTCTAATTCCCAACTAAAATCCCTTCTTTTATTGGAAGCTCTCTGTTTCCCTGTACTAATACTGTTACTAACTTCCTATTTCTCCTGTATATAGCTTGTTTCGTATATTGTCTTGTTTGTATGTTGTCTGCTCCATTAGATTGTAAGCTCCAGGAGGGCAGGAACTGTCTTTTGCCTTTTTTAATCCCCAGCCCTCAGTACTGTGCCTGGCACATAGAAGGTGCTTAATAAATGTTTATTGATTAATTGAGACAGGGGTGAAGGAGGAGATAATGGCAGAAGGCATCCGAGTGAAATGAGGAAGAGAACAGACAGAAAGGTCACGGTGCATGCCCAACATTGTGTCTATAATATGTAGGGCAAGGTTCTCAACTGATAGGAGAGATGAAGGGGAAGCCATGGGAGGATTGAGGAAGGATGAAAAGGATGGGAAAAGTCAAGTGGAGAGTGGGAGAGTGAGTTGACAAAGGAGATGTAGAAGCAATGAGAACCTAGGTAAGGTTGTGTAGTGGACCTAGCCAGAACGTTTACATGATTTCCTCTAATGACATTTGGCAGCAGGAATGGAAGGCAGGGGCTGGGGACCAGTACTTCAAACATGTCATACTCACCTCTCTATAACTAGCCAGGCCCCACCTTGGCCATTGGGGTAGGACTCAGGGATCTGCTCGATGCCATTCTCAGAATCTCTATCCTCTTTCCACCACTTGATAATCAAATCAATATTACATGGTGAAGATGGTACCAACCTACAGCCCTACGGCTCCACTCAGAATCCCTGGTATCTGAGTTTTAGGCTGCCTTATTCAAAGTTTCCTTCCCTGGGCACCATCTCCAGCTCTCTCATACCTCAACATATCAGGCCAATTCCTCCCTGCCCCTCTCGGGTGCCCTCTGGAACCCAGTTCTATTATATTTTATTGCTATTATTGATGTATTTTGTTTTAAATCACTTTGATTTCCAAATCTATCCCTCTCTCCTAAGGCCCATCTCTTGTAAGAAAGAAGAGAAAAAAGTTTTTCAACAAAATTAACACGTTAACAGTTCCTCAGTGTATGAGATGGTCCACACCCATCATCTCTCACCTCTTCAGAGAGATGCATTTTCTCCTCTCTTCTTCCTTGTTCTGTTGACAAACTGCCCTTCTTAAGAGTCTTGTGTCCTCACCCCAAATACTTTGTAAATATTGTATATTTAATTTCCTATGTACATATTGTGTCCCCTCCCCCTCCTTTATGTGCCCATTTCCTTGTAAGGGGCTGGGATGTGACCATGTTTAGTTGATCAGTTATGTCCATCTCTCTGTGACCCCATTTGAGGTCT